GGATCTGCCTCGACAACCTTGAAGCTACACTACAGTTAACCTACCGGTCCTGTGGCACCTCGCAAGAAACCTTTAACAAGTTCAACGAATTAACTCAATCTTACCCTGGGAAAATACGAACAAGGTGGTGCCCTAGCCACATAGGTATCCTAGGCAATGAGATTGCGGATAAAGCTGCAGGGAAAGCGGCGCGGACACCCCCCTCTGGTCCCCTCCCTCTACTCTGTACGGCCACGCCTCAGAGAGAGGTAAAGGAGCTAGGGATCAGGCTAGCAAGAAACCTCTGGAATACTACACTCCCAGTTCTATATAAGGACCTAGGCCTCTGTACCTGGTTCTTAAAGCCCAAGTCTCTCCAGTTACCAAGAGAGGTCCTCGCTCGCTTAATCGCTGCTCGTTCTGGACATGGAGACTTTACTGCCTACCATCTTCGCTTCTTTCACTTCGACGCGCTACTCAGTTCATGGAACTATAAGTGTAGGAAGACCAAGACCCAGTTCCACCTACTCTTTTGCAAGCTAGCAAACAACAAAGCCCCTAAGCTATTAGCAAAGGCTGAGAAGAACCCTCAACCCCCTAGCGTCATTTGCCCTATTTTGGGACTCTTTAGGACCTAGCCCACGCGAGCTAGAATCCGCTTGACGTTAAATAGAAATAAACAAATAAATAAATATAATTAGATTTCTTTTATTTATATTAAGTTATATATTTATACTTACTAATTATACTAAAGTAAATAATTAATATAACTAGCAAATTACTTCTATTTAAGTAGTAGTTAACTTTAAAAGGTTACCTACGTATTATTAAAAGGAAATATAAAATTTTAAATTATATAAATAAGAACAAGAATAAATAGTTAATATTATTATTTAGTTAACCCTTTAATAGTAAAATAATTACTATATCACTAGTAAAATAGTAATAGAGTTTCATTTATTAGTTATATTATAGAAATAGATATTCTTATTTAAAGAAAATAATTATTACTATTGTCGGTATATAATTCTGGTGAATAGCACCTTGTACGAGAGCCTGGTGGATCTATATGCTTTAGGTCATGTGAGTGGCTTGCCACTCATATACTTAAGCTTTTAGGGTACCACCTCTCTTTGCCTTTACTCTTCATACACGAATGAATACAAAGAGAGATTATGTTTGTGTATCACCCTTTACGACAACCAGGTCGTACCAACAACTATATTTTCTTATCTAAATACGTGTTTTGGTAGTATAACTGTGACGGTTCTAACCGCCACTACACCTCAGACCAGCCCCTGGCTGGAACCCAGCGGATACCGTGCTTCCTGAGCCCGGCTCAGTTAGCCATAGCTTGGCACAACCTCCTGTATATAAGAACCTCTGGCTCCCGAGCTCTGCTCTCTTCTCTTCTCTCCTTAGCTTAGAATCCTCGAATAGACAGTTCCACAGTGTCAATCTCACCACTCGTGATACCTGACGTAGTCGTGCTCTTGCACGGTCCATCAGCTGTGCGTGTCGTCACAATAACTAAGAGTATTTATTATTAGGTAGAATTTAAAATAAAAGATAAAAATAATCTAAGTAAAAAAGTGAGCTAGTACTTATACTACACGAAGCGAACGAGGGAACACCCTAGTAATATACGCTAGCTAGATATAGAAAACGCTTATAGTTATATCTTAAGGTCGGACCTATCGGAATAATCCTATAAGGCTTAGTCCGACTTACTCTATACTAATTATATCCTTTTATACCTTATTGTGACGGTTATGGTCACGAGGGCTGGATGTCACATGCTCGCTTAGCGAGGCGCTAGCGCGCACGACCTGTATTTAGTTCCCAGCTCTCTCGAGCTCTCCTTCTTTCCTCGTCTTTTGACCTAAGAATAGAGTGTTAATTGTTCTGAGTTCTACCTGAAGCACGTCTGTCACACTTATATTTTTTTCTAAATACGTTTAAAGCGTGTCTATCTTTCTATTTCCTTAAATTTGTTAGGTATTATACGCTAAAGAGCGGTGATAAGGTTCGATGGTTTTGAATACGGATACGGGGTATAAAGCTCGTGCGTAGTATTACCTTTAGGTAACGCGAGTAGGTTTTGTTCGGTTTGAGAAATGGGAGAAGGCGGGGTCTATATAAATTGAGATGTTCATTGACTCGCCAGGTAGATTATGGCTTTCCGCGAGCGCAGAAATGGGTCGGCTTTTTTCTTTTTCTACTAGTTCGCAGGGTAGAACTGTAGCTTCGCCATGAAGGCAGATGTTAGCTGGGCTTGTAGGGCGTATTTCAGGAAATAAGCTAAGGTAATCAGAGAAGAGGGGCTAGATCAGATCGAGTTATAACAGGTGGTAGAAGGACTCTGTATCCTGGCAGTTCGCTTAAGAGGGAGTTATTAATTTTACCTACATTCATAGCAAATAGTAAGTTGGTTAGTCAAAGAGAAGACTTGGCGTTCATTAGATAGTAATCGTTATGATAGCCCTATAAACACCTGGTATTAAGACTCGGTCAGAAAAAGGAGCCAAGCTCTCCTTTTTGTAAGTGTTGTTCGGTGAGTCCAATTAGTAATAAACGGGCTACGGAAGTATGTTAGGGGCTCTCTAAGGCCTTACGTTTGAGCTCCTTATTGAAACCAGATTTATAGAAACTAATCCGGAGACTAGTTCAGAGTTGTAGTAATTTTACCAGTTGTTAGAAGACGGAATAAGACGCTATTAGGGAATATATGAAAGCGGATATGGAACTAGCTAATGGCAGTAAGGGCTTCTTGTAGAAGAATCCTGACCTCCAATTACTGACCAGAAGACTATGTAATATCGCAGACTTTGCCAAGATTCTTAGGTATCTATAGTGGTCCTCATTTTCTAATAATACCACTTTACTACTGTAGTAAAATGTCAGCTTTTGAGATAATACTTCTTTTGCGAAAAGTTATATATTCTATAGTAGTTGTAGTGGTAGCGGTAGTGGTAATAACGATTGTCGCAAAGAACTGAGTTTCCAGCAAGCAATTTGATCTCTTTAAATTGAATCTCATTCAACCCGTATTACACGCCTTAGACCGGCTATAGATAAGTCTTAGAGGAATTACTATGGATAGTTAGTAATAATAGGCTATATTATCTTCCCCTCCTGACTCGGTCATTCTCAATCCTGCCCCAAACTTATCCTAAACGATCCCTCAGCATATGGGCCCGCCTCCTTTCTACCCCTTTACACTGGCGAGTGTCAGCCACATATACCGAATATTTCGAGCCATATTTAGCCGAGTCTTCTGAAAGGGGTACATTATCACATGGAAGAAAAGGGGTTGGGTTTGGGACAGTCTTATTTACTTAACGAATTAGAGATATAGCTCTTATCAAGGTACATAGGTTAGTCAAGGTAAGTCAGAAGCTAGCACTAGGGGTCCAAGAAGATTCTCAGCTTAGAAAGTTATAGTTTGTTGGTTATTAAATGCATTCTATTCACACCCTTATCTAGGAACGTCCTACTTTGAGGCAGTGGCACTAGTATGGTATACGTGCGAGTTACGAGTAAGGGCCTACGAAAGATGGTTTTACGTCAGGCAGTTTCTCTGTCAGTTACTACCTGTATTAATAACGCTGCCATTGCTTTACTAGCGAATTAGTAAATAGGTAGTAATTCTGACGTTACTGATCAATTGGAGGTAATTTAGGCGTGAACTGTTTAGAAAAAATACTGGGATTGGGTTAGGGACTAGATGGTAGTACCCTACACGTGTTACTACTGATTGATCAGGCCTCTACTGAACGTCTGCCTCCTTGGTGGTGTGTAAAAGCAGCCCTACAATCCCTCCTTTTTCAGCGAGGGTTCTAAAAGCAGCGACTTGGCGCCCTCGCTTACCAGGATCCGCACCGAGCACGCTTTCAATTTTCGCCCTCGCAACTTCCACCACATCACAAGTTTGACATACGCGCAAACAACCCCTTTTACCGCGACTCATATTTTCGCAAATTCAGACTACTATGGAGAGAAAAAAAGATAAAGGGCGAGCACGAGCGCGCGCCGTCCTCGTCCGAATCAGACAGCGACGACCAATCTCTACCGCCACCTACCCAGCGCCACAGGAGAAAGCAGACTGCAAGACAGAGAATTATAGAAGATTCTGATGAGGAGATCTCTCGACCACGTTCACATGCAATTGATCAGACTGGAGAATCCTCTCGACCACGTTCACATGGAATCAATCAGACTGGACCGGGAGAACCCTCTCGACCACGTCTACGTGAGATCGATCAGACTGGAGAACCCTCGCCTAATCAAGAGGACGACCTTTTACCGGAACCCGTTCCAGGCACCCTTAGTGCGGAAGAAAAGGCTTGTCTGAAAGATATCGCAGCCTGGGAGCTTACTCTATGGGCTAGAAATCGCGATTTCTTTCCGGATGTTACTATGCTCCCTCCAGACCTACTAACTCGACACTCTTCGTTTAACTGGGTTTCTCCGGTGCAATAGTTCGTAAGAGAGTTGTGTAGGCTGATTTGCGCGCCGCTCTTCCGCACAAGTCCACAGTAAGTTTTCTTCTCTACAAGCCTATATATCATTAACTCACCAGTCTTGTAGGCTTATCCCTGTTGGTCTTGATGTGGCAAGATATTACAGACTGAAGAAACTTAGCATCGTTGAAAATCTCCACCGCCGTCACAGAATTTCGCCCGCCGTCATGAAGCTTTGCGCGGCAATGGACTCGGACAGACAACACGATTTACATGAGCTGCTTACAAAAGCTCTTCGAGTGGCTAGGGGTCCCAATACACTGACGCCCCGGCGTCAGTTTAGAGCTGACTAAGCGCGGGTTTTCACGCCCCCCCACCATCCACGAACACTCTACTTATACCTATAATTAATACATGCTTAACAAAATAACATATAATAAATCCTACAATATATATCGCTCCGAGTCTCGCGCATACTCCTCCTCAAGTCTAGCCCATATATCCCTACTCCTATTCTCAGTATTCCTATTCCTATTCCTAATAAACTCTGATTCAAGCATATTATACTCATCTTGCTCCTTCTTTTCCTCGTTATCTAGCCATGCTATAATCTCCTCATTTGTCCAGTCAGCTTTATTTGTAATAATAGTACCTGTAAGATCACGCCGCTCCCTAGGCATATAAAATACCTGCTCTTTTAAAATTTTCGGCCTTGGTGTTTTCCATTTTCGGGCCTTACGATATTCTGCTGGCCGTATAGTAGGATGCTGGGCTAGCCAGGCTGTTTTTTCAGCTAGGTAGGCCAGAATTAAGACTTCTGGCCGATCTGGTGAAAGCTGCTTAGGTACAGTTGGTGCTAGAGATGCTAAAGGTGCTGATGCTAGAGGTGCTGAAGGTGCTGTAGGTGATGTGGATAATGTGGGTGATGTGGGCACTGTATCTAATTCAAGGAGAATCTGGCTTTGAGCAGCAATTGATGCTTGTAGTTTCAACGGGCAGCTACGGCTACTCATTGTGTGGCCTTGCCTGTGGCATGCAGAGCATTTAGGTAATTGCTTTGCTTTTTTCTCCCCTTTTGAGAGAATGCGGCCTGTGTGAGCAACCTCTGCGTTTGCTATACGCTGTCTACCAGCCCATAGAGGGTTAAGTAGTGGCTGTATAGTGCTTTTACGGTCCCAGTACCAGTGCTCATGAAAGTCTGATGGAGTAAGCCCAGTAGTGTCCTTCTTTATCTCGCATATATGTGCACAAGGCAAGCCCATTGCCCGGGTAAAAGCACCAGTACAGGGCAGTAGTGGCCGAGAAACAGTCTCTTGATGTCGTTGTACAAGTCGTAGTGCATACCAAGTGACTACCCCAAAACAGCCTTGATATAGCGTGTTGTCTATATCAAGTGGTGCGCGGTCCTGTAACATACTTATACGAGTTGATACAGCTGTAATTTGGTTGATTACAGCTGCTTCAATAAGTAGCCATGATGAATAGAGGTCCCCCTTGGTTTTTTTGCCCCCTAGGTAGCGCTTAATATATGCATGAGCTCCTTCAGCACGGGAGGTTACTCGTATACCGAAGTGTAAGTATTGATTTGTCCAAGCCTCAACTAAACGCTCCTTTTGACCAGGTTTTAGCCACTCGTTTTGTAGGTATGCCACACACTGTTGAGTCTTAGGGTTTGAGTATTGAGTCTGAAACTCAAGCCAGCTGTGAGGGTTAGAACCCATAGTGGGGCTCGGGCCAAGAGCCCTCGCTAAGCTAAGCGACCCCGCCTCTGGAACGCCATGGAATAAGATAGAATGCTATGACGCAGAAGATTGGTAATACTATGGAACAGTGTTGAATGCAATGGAAATGCTACATTTAGTATAAGAGTAGAGGAGGAACATGTATTTACAGACCACGTAGTTCTTAATTGAATATTGAACCCACACCTTTGAGTTGTTCGAGGTCTGGCCTCTCACACCAGCGCTTATCAAATTGCTCAATTGTCTGTGCTTGAATAACTATACGCCAGGCAGCCTCAAAAGCCTTCCAATCCTCTTCCCCGACTACATTCTTACATTTAGCAAGTACACATTGGTTTACATGCCAAATACAGAGTAGTGTAGGGGCGTGCGGAAACACCTCTTCTGACGCATTCTTTTGAGCCTGGTCACCGTCTATAACTATAGCTCCAGGGTTAATTCCAAGCTCTTGAAAACATTGGAATCCCCATATAAAGTCTTGCTGTGTTTCACCGGGAAGGAAGCAAAATCCAATTGAGAACGTTAATCCAGAGCTTGTAACACCTATGAATACTTAGTATTATAAGCGTACAAATAAGTCAAAAGCGGTACTTACCAATCATATGTAAGAGTGGCATCTGAAACTTATTTGTCTTATATGTATTATCAACTAATACAACATCTTGATTAGTCTGTGCAAGCTGAATTGACTGTGGATATGCAATGAAGAGGTGTTGTGTCCGGTTCTCTGACGTGACATTGATTTTGAAGTGTATTTTGTTATCTGTAAGGTGCTGAATAAGGGCGTCGTTTGGAGAGAGTCCATGTCTTTGCTCTCTTTTAAAAGAGGCATTCAGGTTATATATGTCGTACGGTTGAAGTGGGGTAGTAGTTATCTGGCGAAGGTATGTAATTGCTTGGCTTGGCTTAATCCCTAAATATATATTAGACTTAAATTATTTCAAGTTACTTTCTATCTTACCTGCATTGTGTAAAGATCTAGCCTGATTTATCTCTGCTTGTGCTAGCTTCCGGTGTGCTGGATGAGAGCTAACTGATTGACTTGGAAGGTGGTTATGTAGACTATACTCTACGCCAGGCCTATAGCGTAACTCCCATTGAGAATTTATACATTCAAGCGCTACTATTGAGAACTGGCAGCCAGTTTTTCGAGTAGTTGTCTGTCGCTTACGTGCTTGTAAATGCTGTTGCGGATGTTTTTCGGATGGTGGTAGGCCGTAACGGTCGCAATTATACGTGATCTTCGTCCTAGGACCGCCATGGATCTTTGTTGACCGTCCAATACGAAAAGCATAGCAATGATGTGCTGCCCAGGCTTGAATTGAAGTATATAGCTCTTCTTTAGAGCTATATATAGCCTCTGGAGGCAGTGGCATAGACGTATGAGGGGTGGCATCTGCTGACGCTGGCTCAAGTGGTTGCTCAGGTGAATGTAAGGGCAGTGGCGACAGCGAGAGTTGAACGTCCATTTTCGCTATGTAGCTATGTCAGGCGTGCATTGATTACAGTCCAAAGTACAGTGCTGGTAGATGTAAATGCGACGCGCGCGCATTTCGGTGGTGGGGGGGCGTGAAAACCCGCGCTTAGTCAGCTCTAAACTGACGCCGGGGCGTCAGTGTATTGGGACCCAGTGGCTAGTCCCCTTGGCAGACTGTTCCCCAAACCCGCACGTCGTAGTTTTATCTTAATGATCAAAGATCTCGGTGAAGCAGTTGAGTACACCACGGTCGGAGGTAATCGAGACCATGCACAGAGTCCACATATTATCGTGGCAGACTTGAAAATCTTTGGTCGGGCCTGGGACCAGTATACTACTGAGCGACGACTGGTAGATCTATCGGTTGAAAGTTGCTCCAAACTCAGATCAAAGAAATATTCAGAAATCAGAGACATTCAGCCGGAAATCGTCGAAAACAAGAAGCAGTGGTTGTTAGGTCAATCGGAACGAGACGCCTCAATTGACAGCGACGACGAAGAAGATAAACCCACAGAGATCCACTTTTCAGACTATGACGAGTCAGACTGCAAAGAAACCACAAGGACGGAACCCTCGATCGAACTTGGAGATGCCACAGCTTTAAGAGAAGAATCATTTCGAATGACCCCAGAAATTGAACATATCAGACTGACATTCACTCGCCATTTTGAAGATTTGGACGAGCAGCAGATGCTTGCCATGACTGACTTAGAGTTGGAACAGCTTTTGAGATCACTAGCGTCAGCAAAAAAGCGTGTGTCGGAGTTAGAAAAGGAACTCTCAGCACGATCATTCATTTTGGATAAGTTAATTGACAAGGCTTCACGGGCGTTAGAAATAACAGTGTTTTCCAGAAAGAGAATGTTACGGAACGAGATGTTTAGATCCGCCCACCGACTTCTGCCTACCTCGCCTCTACCAGATTCCGGTGATGAGATGCCAATAGATTACGATAATAACCAACAACACCAATTTCATCAGATCAGACTGTCGCCTAGTGGTTCGGGAAGACAACCTCCTCAAAAGCGCAACGCCTCTCCAGAACCAGCTTCCTTACATTCTTCAAGAGAATCACGTACCACGAAGCGACATAAGCCTTCTCATACATCGTCGAGACAAAGTTCCTTTAACCCAAGTACATCTCCAGAGGCCGTTAGATCTTTGTTCTCGAAATCCCGCCGTCCTACGCTACAACAGGGACCTTTCCGACTGAAGCCAAATTCACAGCCCATTGTGATTTCAGATTCCGACGATGCTCTATCCGACTGTTCGAAGACAAATGAGGGCGATATGTCGAATCGCCCTACTTCACAGCAATTAGGCACTGCGGCTTCGAAGACGCCCCGAATAAGATTCTTCGATGGTTTGCCAAGCGTTCAATCATGGAATTCGCAGGTACTTGGTTTACCCTTTTTGTTTCTTTAGCCCTATTTCTTTCGCTTCTGATGTTGCCTTTAACCAATTTGCGAAGTCGGAAACATGGCTAATTGTGTTCTCTTAGTATTTGCCTGCACGACAGACTGTGAACACGAAAGTATCATCGCCCGCCGAATATATCGGTCATTCTCGAGAAGTCGAACTACCAGAGCCTCAAGACCATATGGGAACAGCAAAGCAACCGACTGTACAGACTGCAAGCAAGAATCATGAAACTCCGGAATACCTAGGCCGATCCGAATATACAACCCAGTGGTCTGGGAAGTCAGCAAACATGAGAGAATCTACGAATATGGCAGCGGATGTTGGAGGAGCGATGGAGTACGATTGGGAAATGGGAGCATGGAGAGAGTTGTAATATCACGGGGTCCTACAACTTTCACAACTTGCCCATTAAATTCAGACCGTTTTAAATAGGAATCCACAGGCTGTTCTGGGTTATTTTACTTCTAGCTCATTAACTAAAGTAGGATGTGGTCAACACACTTGTTTCAACTGGAATCATGACCCCCCTTGTAACTAGTGATCAAATGGTAGAAAGCAACTCGTGATTCGTACCTGTGTCTCAATCACTAACAGTCAATCTACATTGCTAAGGATGTACGTGGATTAGTATAATCCACGTGCTACTTCGTTAGCTACAGATAGATTAGAAGTTAAGAGGTCCGGAATTAGCTGTATCTTTCATCGTATTTCATGAAATATATCATTATATGTTTATCCCTATTATAAGATAATCACAAGTCTCTATTTCGGCATTTAATAGATTGTAAAGATAACGCGACTTATAGGAAGCGAGACGGGTATCTTCATAGCAAAGATTTCTCACAAAGATAGATGAGGCATCGTTATTTGAAGTTCAATATTCTCGCAGCCTATAATACCGACACTTATTCTGTCAAACATAATTTAAGTAACCTCTCTAGACAGGAGTTAGTTTTTGTGTATTACTCGGAAAAGGCGTTGAATGTTCACCATTGGTTTGAAGATTGAATGCTCATGCGAAGGTTCTAGCAGATTTGCACCGAAGATCCAAGAATGATTCAATCAGCTATTATAGCTCCACAGTAGCTTTGAGAAAGTTTGATGATCAGAACAAGCACGCGGCTTCCTCAAGATTCTTGATCTCCACTCAAAACTTTCTGCCCAATACGAATCATATCATCATTGGTTAATGTGTCCTTCTCAAACCCATGAATAGTCTGGTCCAGCAGCGCAGCTGCGATATCATCCAGTTTAATATGCGGAAGACCAGGTGTTTCCTTCTTCTCTCTGCTTAGGTGGTCAATGGCGCCGGGTTTGATGACACAAGATTGGACAGTGCCATTAGACTCCCTGCCGTATTTGAGAATCAACCCTTCTGCCTCGCCCTATTATTTTAATGGTTACGTATTAGTCGATTTATCGTGTCAAATGAGGGTTTTTAGGATGAGAATCATGGTCCTTACCCGTAACAGTCCAGCATCGACCGTACCATGGGTTTTCAATTGCTGGGGTACCTCAGCCAGGCTCCGAGGGGCGAAATGACCGCTCATATATATGAAGCGTAAGTGTGTAGCTTGCTTGTTACGCAGGCCGTCTAGAGCCTTGATAGCGTAGGTGGCGTAGTCGCGGGAAATTTTAACTGTCTGCTCAAATGGAATCTCTTTGAGCTTCGTTGCAGTCACGGCAATGGTCTTAACATTCCATCAGTGATTGTGGCTCCATCTAGGTACACATAATGAGATACCCGAATAGTAAATATAGAAGCCCGGTAATCGATTATAGTCGCAGAATAACGGGCATCTGCATTCTCAATCTCTTTTTTAACACTTTCGGAGTAGTTCTCAAAGTCTTCGACCACGATGGAATTAAATTTTGAGGCTGAATTACCCGCTTCTGATGGAGTGGGAGCCTCCCGTCTACCGCGGGCAATGATAGATGTGATAGCTGGGTTTTTCAAACCTTGACGAATGAGCTCCTTGGCAACAAAACCCGTTGAACCGCCGATTACAAGCTTCATTTTGGTGGCGATTAAGGCTTGACGGGCGTAATGGTATTGAGGAGTGATCTTTGAGGGATTCTGGAGACTGACAGAGGAATTGCAGGTGGCGGCAAGTATGGTGGGGAAATGGACGACTTTTATGTCCAGCACTCGCTTATATTTCCTATTTGGGCTGTGCATAGCCAACGCAACCAACATAACCAACAAGCCCTACAACGGCCGGGAATATCAGAATACTCGACTCTCGCCCTTTCTAACCTCTTTGAGAGTCCTCCCCGAGCCCCCACCCGGTGGTGCCAGTGGAGTATAAATACCAAAGATCTTCCGTGCGTATTACACCACCAAACGCACCTACCTTGCACTTAATTCGTCTCTAGAACATACATGCTTGCAGACCAGGGCAACAATTAATTGCGCATACATTTCATTTAACCCGGAAGCAACACTCGGCAGATAATGAAGTTACGGCCACCCAAACAAGAATGAGTGTCAGCTGAGCCATTTTTTCTTTTGACTTTCCTAGGCACAAGCTTCTGATCAATTCTGCTTACTTAGTACCCATCTAACAGTTTTAAATCCCAGGTTTCAGTTCTTATCTTCGCGCAGTGTCGTGTCAATTCCGAATTATGTCAAGCTTACATACGACGACTAGCGTGCGAATCAGCTCCCCTGAAGTTTCGAACCCTGTCGTGAACCCAGGACTAAAGGAATTGGGCAAGCGTAGGAAGGTGCCGTGATGGAACAGATGGGCAGGCTCGTTTCTCCCTCTTTCTTTAAACAGGTGGATAAGAATAGATAATGAATAGACTGTTAGGTTTTTGATTCCTCGCTCCCTTTTGATCCTATCTTTGTTGTTGCTATTTCGGTCTTGTCCTTCTTTCAAATATAGTCTCCTCCCATTAATGCCCCCAATCTTTCTTTACTCACGTGAAATAGCATGGGATGAAGTGTTAGCAGCGAATTTGCCTCTCTATTCTCTCTCCGCACTTGAATAATACTTTACTTTACCATTTTTGAAACCCTCCCTTATTATCCACGGTCAAGCACTCTTTCTACTGCGTCGATAGTTCGACATATACTAAAAGTGAATGTACCCGTGACCTTTCTACTTACACGGACTATCACACCCCTAATCCTAACAGAGGAGATCCATATAGTCTTGTTTGTGTATCGAAATGTGGCATGTGCTGAACCAAGCAATAGATTATATGGTGTGAAAATGATCTAACCAAGCAATCTTACATTTATTTATACGGGAATCACTCCTTACGTATTCAAATTGAAAAGACACTTAGATTAGGCCACTTATCAACCTGGTTTGTATGGATTCAGCTTGTTACTACTTACTACGAGGCCTTTATTTATATATTCAGAATAAGCTTGCCAGAAGAAACCCACTTAGACGTAGACGCTAGTGTCCCATCGAATTTATTAGAACGAAAGCATTTTCCCAAAAAAAGGCTTCTACAGTGCCTAAAAGGCCATTACCATCTACAAACAAGATCCCTAAAGGCAAGAAATAAAGAGTTCCATTAACCAAAACAAATATTTACGCTTAGTAATCCACAGGGCCCGACCGTGACGGAGTGAACAGCTACCTTGCCCTCGCTCAAAGTTTATCTCTATAAGGACCATTCTAGTGTTATCGCCACCAGAATTCCTAGAAAAAAATTGCAAAAGAAATAGATCAGCCCGAAGGTGATCTACCGAGAAACTCGCCCCCTGTGGGAATCAGTGGTTTGCTCTTGCGGCCGCACAGGATTGGTAGCTCATTCTGACCAGTTGGCCAGATTTACTTTTACGAACCTTCTGTGGGTTGAGGACGAGTTGTCTTATTTGCAATTTTGTATTTAATTCAATTGTGTGGCTTGCACCCTGGTGGCGCTAAGTAGTGAAGAATGTCGCTAGTGAATCGGGGAGGTGAGAATGCCTGGCTACCTACAACCGCTTTCTATTCCTCAAGAAATTACTAATAAATCCTGGAGTTCAACCCAGAGAGCTACGGATTAAGAAGGCGAGTATGGGAAGACCTTAAGCAAAGATTCTCAATGCCAAGACCATATTGCTCGCTTAGAGTAGGCAGTCTGTTGCCATTGGCTTGCAACGGTATTGTCCTTCCCATTTTCCATCGACCTCACCTTCAATCCTCCAACTCCCAGCCCCCCCAATTTGAGCGACGTTATCCTTTTATCCCACCGCCTCCTTCCATCCTCTAGCCTCCATCCTCCATCTTCCACCACTCAACAACTACCACTCTCCCATTTCTCTCGTTCTTGTCGATACTTGCAACGCTATCAACACATGCCTTCAATAGTACCTCATAGCTCAATAGCCTTCCAGTAAGTTGGGTCGAGCTATTTTGCAAGACTTCTGAGAGATAGCAGAGATCCTCAACTTTTTCCACACTCTCCATCCTATCGCATTCACCCAAGCGCACACATCGAAAATTTACCACGCTCTTCTTAAAATACAACCTTTCGATCTCCTAATCTGATCAAACTACAACATCATTTCCAGTATCAGTCCAAACAATGCCTCCAAAGAAGCGCCCGGCGGCGCGGAGTGAAGACGAATTTGAGAGTTCGTCGCCAGCGAAGAGAAATAGGAGCGAATTAGCCCGCGCTTCTAGTGTAAAGCCTGTTGAGCAAAGAGGGGCCGCGAAGAAAGCTGAAGCTGCGCTCAAGCAGACTGCCTTGGATTCGGAGAAAATTCATACCGAGCAAGGCGGTATGGCTAAAAAGTCTGTAGTGACGAAAAAGGCTCAAGTTGCGCTCAAGCAGACTGCTCTGAATTCAGAGGTAACTGATACTAAGCAAGGCGGTACGGCTAAAAAGTCTGTAGTGACGAAAAAGGCTCAAGCTACGCTCAAGCAGACTGCTTTGGACTCAGAGGTAACTGATACTAAGCAAGGCGGTGCGGCTAAAAGGCCCGAAGCCGCGACTAAGCAGACTGCCTCGACTACAAAGGACGTCTCAGGAAAGAAAGGTGCAGCTGCCAACAAAGCTATTCAAGGAAAAAAAGGTAAAGTTACAGACCTATACTCCTTCCGTGGGCTTCTTTTGGCAGGAAATTTATTGACTTAATGGAGAAATAGCCAACTCAAAGCCAAAGACTACGGTCAATGATCGAACAAAAGCGATTATAATTGAGGATGAAGAAGTGACCCAGCCCAGAGATATGGTCGTAAAAGATCAAGGATCTCCCGCCCGAAAAAAAGGTCCGCGTCGCGCAATATTGAAGCATTTTCCACCAGCCAACACAATGTTTCCAGAGGATCAATCCGGCGATATTTATGTCTTACTCGGACCGCCAGGAAGTTTGTATGCGGTTCGGCTTCACTCAGCCGTACTTCGTGCAAACTCGGATTGGTTCTCCCGTTCGCTAAGCGACAGTGTTGCAGAGTGCAATGCAAAGCTAGCATCAGACTTTACAAAGCAGAACAGAATTGCACACCGGTATGAAATAGAATTGAGGAATGCAGATTCCGAGGAATGGAAGTTTATCAAGACAGTAAGTACCATCTTGGAGCGTGTTTTTTATTTACGTCTGCCTCATGAGTCCTCAAATCAACGGGAATATCTAAACTTACAACTGTTTAGTCAATTACAATGGTTGAACCACCGAGCAATCCCTCCGTTTCTGTGAAGAAAGAAAATCCTGAGCCCGATAATCAAAACATATACCTGGATCACGAAGTTCAATTTGTAGCGAGCAAGGCCCAAACTTCTCCCAAGCACGGAGATGAGACGCTCGCCAAGAAGCCGCTTAATTTTGAGATGGATGGAAGTATGGACGAACCAATTGAGGATCCTCAAGACAGCAAAAATGAACCAGCGAGGACTTCAGACTACCAAGCAGCTAGCAATTCCCAGGTGATGCTTCCGAATAACTCCACTCCGGCGCAACCAGCGGAGTCGGTGTCACCGTCGATCGAAAGTGTCACGGAAGTTTTGAAGCAAGGTTCTTCCAATTCTCGAAACTTGCTCAAAGAGATAGAGGTTGATCAGCATGTGCCATCGGATGAAACCCAAGAGGCTCCAGTCGGCAAGCATATGCCAGTAAGCGCTGACATCCCACAAACCCCTGCTCCTAAAAACCTCACCTTGCCACCAAATGAGGGAGCAAGCTCTGACGTTTTCGGTCCTTCTTTCGAGATTTTGCCGTCTGTTCAGGATGAGGCTGCTGGTGAATCTTCGGACAGTCGAAAGACTTTTGGTTCCAGTTCACCTAGCAGTGGAGATCTATCAAACATCGAAGTTCCGGTTCCAAGCGAAGCCGTCGAAGCGGACGACAACTCGAGCCTCAGTAGCATGGATTCAGACAAGGTCAGTGCATTAATGCCCGAGTTTGCCATTCGAGATGAAGATAACAAGCCGAGTTTTGTTGGGACTGAAATGGAGGGCGTAGAGCCCGAGGCTACTCCGAGACAGGTTCCCAAGATTAAGCAAGAAGAGGAAGAGGACGATGCCAATCACGTGATATTCAAGACTCCTCCAAGTCCTCCAAGCAAGGTCGTCAAGCTCAGAGCCAAGGTATCTACTTCTCAAGAGGCAGATGATGAGAATGGTGGACCCAAGACGATGAGCGCTGATCAGACCAAGGAAGAGATTCCTGTTCCACCAAAGCCCGATAATGCAAAAGCTGACCAACCTAAAGATATCGTCGTGGAAGGTTTCATGAATTTGTTCAAGATTTTTTATCGCCTTGAACCCAATATATCAACAAACAAATTCGAGGATGCTATAACCCAAACTGAGCTTCTCACTTATTTGACAACACACTACGGACTCACGTCACCAGACAAGCAAATTAGTGTCAACAAACTTATATGTAAAAAGCTTCTAGCTTTCGGCGATGAGCTGTGGATGGCTATCAAGGAAGACCCACCTAGATGGCTCTATCATTCGTTGTTTCTTCAATGCGGTGCCATCTTCAAAGGTAATCTTACGAGTTCTTAGCACTCCATCAAATTCCTCTAAATAATTGCGTACTGACGGATCTCCAGAAGCACTTGTCCACATGATTGGCATGTATCCAATGTTTCCCTGGACAAACATCCCAGAGAATTATTTGACACCGTACGTACAATGTCTTATTCGCGGAAAGGCAAAAGACTTGCGAGATACAGTGGCGAGCATTGAGAGATCTCTGCATGGGTTGACCGCCTACATTAAAGGAGTTAATGTGCTTGAACGTGGAGCGAAAGGAGGTGTGGCCTTGGAAGCAGTTCGCATGTGGCACGAGTGGCACAGAGAGCAAATGCTGAAAGAGTGCTACGCATGGTCAATCGATAACAGTACAACTGCACTCCGATTCCGGTTGATGGGAGAAGCAGGACACGCCTACCTTGCCGAAGATCACGAGTGGAACCGCTATAAGGAGACAATGGAGGCACAGGAGCACCGCTTTAATGATATAGACGAAGCCCGTTTCAAGGACACTTTGAAGGACTTGAAGCAGAAGGCGCGGGACATCGTCCGGCCACTGCTAAACAACAGCAGCAAGTTGAAACGTTACAATATGGAGTACTTGATTTGTGTCTATATTGATGACGAAGAGCTTCCATGGGTCTGGGATCCAACCATGACGGAACTCGGATTTGTTCGTCCACCTCCAGCTTAGGAGGAAAGAAAGAGAAGATTTGAGATTCATTCGTTTGTTATGGGAGAGATTTAAGGAAAAAAGGAGCAGATACGATTCATTCGGTTATTATGGGAGGGAAACAATATTTGAGGAAAAAGGAGAATTATCCAAGATTCATTCATTCATTACGGCAGCGGAGATTTGAGGCAGAAAAATGATTTACTTTTGCGTGGGAAGGGGTATTATTGTTACAATGAGCATACTTTCAACGAAGCCAGGGGTTATTTCGGCTGGGGTTGAGGAACGAGCTAAAGCGTTTATTTGACGTCTGCATGGGAAAAGTGCAGTGGGATTATTATCAGAACACCAGATACAATGGAACAAAAAAGCTTTAAAACCCACACTTGAGCCTCAAAATGTTCTCGTAGTGACCAGTATATACCGAGTACTGGATAGCCTAACCACCGCTCGCTACTTTAACTCCAAAGAAAAGTTATACTACTATAACCGTGAATTAGAGGGAAACTCGTGTGAGTAAGCAATTAAGTAAAATAAGCGTAATACTAGCGGAAATCTTATTAGAATCCATACAAACGCCACAAATATGCCTTTTTACCTCCCAGACGCCTTGCTAAATTCGTCAACCCTTTTCCCGTTTCCGTTAACCCAGAGCGCCCACAGTTGTAGATTAAGGCTTTTTCAAACCAGGCCCAAACAAATCGCCAGCTTCTTGAGCAACCTTTTCTCTCTCCAACTTTCTCTTTTTGAGAATCTTCTCATCATTGGCGTTGTCTCCTCCTCTTTTGGTTTGTTGCAAGGCTACCAGATCTATCTTTTCTGGGTTTCGACACTTCCTGAGTTTCTTCGCCAAAGTACGGGCTTCCTTGCTTTCTTCGGCCGGGCTTTGCATTTGAGGTTCGACAGTTCGAAGCATTTGAGCGCAATCAGCAAGCGTGCCCAGAACCTTTTGAGCCATTGCATTTTGTAATCCTCCAAGTTTGAAAGCAATATACCAACGAATGAGCTCCTCATCTGCGATTAGGAGTGATGCTAACATGATCTGGCTTGGGCTGAAATGAAAGTAAACATCTGTGAGCAAGGCACTTGTTTTCAGGAATTCTTTGGCCGTGCCGTGTGCCACCTTGCATCTATAATCCATATTGCGTGGCATTTCTCCGGCAACCCCATTATTTGGTATTGCTCCTTCTGCTATCGCGCACAATTCCATCACTGCTCCTTCCAAAGCTCGGTAGGGATGTCGTACGTCGAATGTAAATCGCAGGCCTTGGGTCAGAAGATATTCGCTCGCCAATACATCTTCGGGTTTTGTTTTATCAATTGCTTCTGCAAATTTTGAGAGGCGATAGTAGTGGTTTTCGGTTTTGGTTGCAAAGAAAAGAGCTGTTCGAAGGATGGTGGCGGGGTCATAAGTCATAAGGGAGTTTGTCGTGTAGAATCTCTTCATGTATTGGACTGCTGTTGCCTATGAACAAACAATCGCATTAACTACTGCGCCATAGACTTGAAAACATCAAGGGAGCTACTTACGTTGACATCTGTAGGCAAATTCAAATGTTTTCCCAGTTGCAATGTTTGTCGGCAGTAGAATACTATAAGTTTGAGCTCTTCTTCAACGGTCAAACAATCCAATTCTCCCTCTGGCAAAGTGCTCGTAGCTCTGCTCTTGCTCTCAGGATCGGCATCGCTAGCGTCTGCAGAAGATTGCGCTTCTCGAGCTCGAGCTCTTCGTACAGCTTCTCGGACGCGATCTGCTGCCAATTGATTTGTAGTGCTGCGTAGTGCTAGAAGGGAAGCAGGAGTGAAGGACCAAAGACGAAATTGGGTGGAGGAGCGATAGCGATCATCTTCTGTGATGACATTTGAGGAGTTCATCGTGAGATCATGGTATTGCTTGCTCAAAAGCTTTTGAAGGCAAGCCTTTCTGGTGTTGGTGTTTTGGTGAGCCTTGCGCGATTGCACTGTAGGTAATTCCAGCAATTCCGATGATCAGCCGAACCCCACTTTTCGATACCTCTCTGAGTGGTATACATATGGTAGCTCTCTAGATATACAACAATAAAACCCGTTTCTTTTTCTTCGATTGTTTTTTTGAGTTCACGAATGCCAAGGTGGTTCTGATGGAATCTTATGTGATTTGTGAGTTTGGCAACGTAATTGTATGTGCTCTGCATGTTTTCTTGTGTTGTGCTGTTTGCTTTTGACTCATCCGCGATTCCATTTCTGGTGATAAAGGCAATCATATATTCACTACAGTTCATGAATATTTATGGGTAGTCACTCATTGATGATTTGAGAACTTTTAGAAAAACTGGTTCATAGGTGCTTCCATCTATCAAGATTGAAAGGGGTCTTTTGAGTTTTGTTTACATTTTTCAGTACTACCAAGCCCACCATCTTCTGTAACCATAAAAGATAGCCCAGATTTGCACACTTCATATTCAGGAACACAATCCAAAAGATGGCTTCAGCACATTTCACTGAACCTACAACTCACTATTGGCAAGAAATACTGCCTGCAAATATTGCTCGTCCTGAAGCTCCATGGTGAGTTTATATCTCCTCCCAACTCACTTATTTTCTAACTATTTTGATTATAGGAAGTACAAATACTCGACTGTTCTTCCTGACAACCGCATCATCAACCTCCCAATCAGGCCACTCCCACCAGCTTTCGAGAATGAGTCCCCAAAAGAGGCCGTAGCTTCCTTGTTTCTCACTCAGGCTTCTCTACTAGTAGTCGATGAGCTCGGCTCTTACCTTGGAGCATGTGTTCGCGAAAGATTTGGTTCTGAGGTTGAGGTGGTAATCGGCCTTCCAACCCTAGGTTTGGGTATTGCTGGAGGCGTTGCCAAAAGTTTCGGTCATAGTCCGTCTGATTCTTTGCTGTCAATCTGAATTCTGCTGATAGCAGTAGCACGATTTGTTGCACTTGGGTACTCGAAGAAATTCTGGTACACGGAAGAGCTTTCAACTAGTCTCTCGTCTATCACTTCGGTTGACGAAAAGAAAGTGTATATCGACCCCAATCAACTACCACTCGTCAAAGGCAAGAAAGCGATCATAATCGATGATGTTATCAGTTCAGGTTCGTACTCAGACCTCCTAATTGCTACTGTCAAGTAACCCCCCGGATTTCAAGCCCGGGGTTTGTCAAGATTTCTTTCCTTGCACATAATTTCTCAACTAACGTTTCTTCCTACTAGGAAAAACCGTGAACAAGATATGGGATTTTCTTGCATCGGCCGAAATTGGTTGCAACGTGATCGGTGCTGGTTTTGCCATGGCACAAGGTTCACGATGGAAGGAATTTCTTGGTGAGGAAAGGAGCTCCAAATTGGTTCAGGTATTCGCCAGCCCCTTGCTTAAAGCTGTCGAGGGTGGATGGATTGAGCGGGAATAATTTGGCCTTTGGCCCTCGATCAGTCTCATGATAAGAGGTTTCGCTATAATAGACTACATGGATAGATAGTCTGATGACCTATCTACTTGGACTGGTTACTGTTCATTTCAAAACAGGCGGAACAATCTCAAAATAGCTGAAAAAGACAATAATTATAAACTTTGCTGGAAATCCACTGTAGTGATTGGTTTAGTCCAAACCTGGCAATTACCCAATTCTTTACCACGCTCAAGCTGGCTATCTTTCCAAAAGGCAATAAAAAAACACAATTTAGTCCATCCACTTGGCTGTTGTACCTTTATGGCTTCCGACACAACTTACAATGAGCCCTCCCAATCGGGCTTCCAGTATCAGGCGGGTCACGTGTCTCAAGGTGGTATGTATGTACCTTAAATCAACCTAATCAGATTTCTAGACAGGAGCCGTAGGAAGGCGCCCTTTCCACTGGGCGACTCGCGTGCCTTGATACACGCATTTGGAACTTCCAATGAAGCCGGACGACTTTGAAATACATCCATGGACTGACACACACGCGAACACGTGAACTTTCCTCTTGTGCGGCGATGATGTCGAAATACAGAATTCCCAGCCACAGATTTGGCCGGCCGGGATCAAACCATTCTGTTGTTTCCCAATAAATTTCTGCGGATATTTAAGGCTAAACCGAAGTCTCAGCTCACTCTTCCTTTGGTTTTCATTCCTCACGGAGGTGCCGTGACACAGTTGGTGTAGGTAATCCATCATTTATCCAGCAACGCTTACACTTGGCAACCTCCAGTACTGTAAGCATGGCATGTCCTTTGATTTAGGGGAATATTGTCAGCTTGCTACCATTCTACCCAACCCGCAAGGTTCAAGGAAATGGTGGCCTGCCATTGTTGGAAATGCCCAAAATAGTGGAACCATATCGGTGTGTGGGCTTCGAAACTTCCCCTATGGTTTCGCTGTTACAGTATGTGGAAGTACAGTGTGTGTATGGCATTTGCGTTGCAGTCGCGCTGTTACGTTGTCACCGCTCAACCAGTCTGGTTTCAGCCGTAACTCATCTTTCAGACGCCTCTTTCTATCGTGGCTCACAGGGTGCCATTCTCGATACTCCGCATATACTTTCACACTTGGTGGCTGTCGAAATGTCCCAGAGTATGCGGTGAGAGATTTCTATTTTGGTATATTTTCATACGTTTAGCACCATGTTAACGAGTTGAATTACCTTTTAGTTTGAACGATAAAGATGGAAATAAAGTAATTGAAATCTTCTGCTCCTTTGGAAAATCTTCCTGCTATACAGCCTGGGGGTTTTTGGAGGGTTTTAGTCATTGCTTATACTTGCTAGGAACAATAAGCTCCACGCCCCAGCTTCAACTGAGCAAATTGGCGTTCTGGAACCCACGCATTGTCATGGAGATTCAGAACCAAATGACCAAACTTATCGAATCAGTATCGACTGCGTATGGTATGTGTCGACTGCATATGAGCTGAGTAAGTTCAAGGTCGTCGATGAGATCGAGAAAGCTCGATTGGACCCTCGTATTTAAAATACGCTGCCCCTCTTTCACCCAAAATACACGTATTAAATTGCTATATAATGCATTCCCTCCTGTAGTTTTCAACGAACCAACTTGCCTACACACGCCTGGCATCTCTTTTGGCATAACTCAACAGCTTTTTTCCCGAGCATCAACTCTTGTCTTATTCAACTGAATTGAGACTATGGGTTTGTCTACAGGTATTCCAATCATCTCGCTCCCAGGCTCTAGGAATACCGAACCAGCACTCGTCAATGTACCGCTGGCTAAAGAAACCCTCAAGCTCAGTAGCTGGGATCCCGCCATCTTTGTGACAGATGTTTTGAGAACACAATCCGGACTCAACCGCAATTATGAGCAGACAGAGAAGGGACTGACTGTTGCTTATGGTAAGATCATGGCCAAGTAAGTATCAATGAAGCCAAATTTCACTTCAAAATATCTCCACTTCAGCACAACATATAGATTAATGTATAAACTGATACGAGCATAGTATTCAATCTTACTTCGATGTCACCGGATTCGAACCTAGCATCGCACCAGAAAGGCAATTGGAAGACAAGAAAAGGTTATATCAATTCACCACCAAGGAAGGATATCCGCCTCATTTAGCCCTCGTGCCCAAAGTAGATGAAGTTACCATCGAACAACTTTTCCAGGAAGGTCAGGAGGATCCAACTCAATTCGAAATCGCTTTCAATGTGATTTTGAAGAACAAGCTTGGCTTTCTCGGTTCGATTTTCGTAGGACTTCGTCCTCATCCAGAAGAAGTTGACAGTTTTGTTGCCAGCAAGTCTTTTGCGGAGATAAACCAGCAACATGAGAGTATCCGAAGCAAACCTGGAAATTTATCGAAACCTTCTGTTGGTGATCTGGACAGTGGAAATAAACCCTGGTACTCGGATGCCACTTTTGCTCAGCAAAGCTTCACGGGAACGAGTCCAGCATCAATTACGCTGGCAAAAGACTGGATTCCAAAATTTATCAACGAGGCCAGACGTCAGAAGCTGGACAGTAGTCTAATCTCCTTGTTAGAGAAGACTGATCCCTCGTCATTGTACGTTCAGGACTACAGTTACTTTCGCAAAGCCTTTGGAATAGCCGATCCAAAAGCGAAAATATCGGACGAACATGGGTTCATCTTCAAAAAGACCAGTCGATGGTGCTGTGCTGCTGTCGTTCTCTACAAACTGCAACCCGATGGAAAACTGCATCCTCAAGCCATTGTTCTCGATTACAAAGGGTCCATGGAGGATTCTATCGTCGTCTTCAACAAACGTCTCACACCTGAGGACAAGGACCATGATGAGGAGCAGGATTGGCCCTGGCGATATGCCAAAACCTGCGCGCAAGTTTCTGATTGGGTCAAACATGAACTTAAAGTTCACCTCAACGACTGTCATCTAATTGAAGAATCCATCATTGTGGCCGCTCAGCGCACCATAGCAAACAACCATGTTCTCTACCATATTCTTTCACCGCATTGGGAGAAAACGCTTTCTCTTAATGCGGCTGCTAGAACGACTCTTGTCCCGAGTGTTATAATTCCCATTATCGGGGCCACAGACGAGCAGTGCAGGAGTTTTATTCGCTACAGCTATGAGAATTTCAATTTTGAGGAGAGCTACGTTCCTGCAGACCTCAAAAGCCGAGGTTTTGCTTGGGACAAGTTGGGAGATTTGTGCTGCCGATGTGACAAACACTGTGACATCGACAAAGCACCGAACGCTCCTTGTAGCGTCGGTTGTGGACCTGAATGCCACCAGACCTGCGATCCTCAATTCAAAAACTATACCTACGCTCGAAACACGAAGCTGATGTGGATCACAATCCGAGATTTCGTCGAGGGTTACCTCGCCACAGCAGGTTTCACCCCGAGCATAACAGGAGACGCAAAAGTAGCAAACGACCTCAACATCCAAGCCTGGGTTCAAGAGGCCAAGCACCCGAATGGGGCGAACATCAAGACGTTCCCGTACATCAAAACAGTCAACCAACTAATCGACGCCGTCACAATGTGTATTCACATCGCTTCTCCACAACACACAGCAGTAAACTACCTCCAACAATACTACCTCTCATTCGTCCCCAACAAGCCACCAGCCCTCTGCTCCGAGCTCCCCAGAAATCTCAAAGCTCTGAACACTTACGATGAATCAGACCTCATCGCAGCTCTCCCCGTTTCGCGAAATCGAGACGCTGAGTGGCTCCTCGCATCACATCTTCCAGCTCTTCTTTCCCAAACAGTCACGAAGGATCTAAATTTTGTCGCTTACGCAGTAAATGTTTACTCCGCTGCCCTGCTTGTGAATGATAAGAAGTTGATGGCTGTTGCTGAAAGGTTTTGTAGGGACTTGTGGGTCTTGGGGAATACGTTTACGAAGGGAGATGACAGTAATCCCTTGCCGAAGATGGGAGTGTTTACCCAGTACAGTGAAGAGTTGGATGAAGGATTCCCTGGGTATACGGTCATGGATCCTGTTGTTACCGCGGTCTCGGTTCTGATTTAGACGCCTGTAAAGATGTCTTTGATGAGTTTGTTCTTCTCTTTTAGGCGTTTTTGAGGGTTGCTTGGAGCATCTTTTGGGCAGTTCCTCTTTTATTATAGCTTATTACCCTGAAATTTAGGATATCAAAACCAAAGCAAATAATATTCTACAACAACTAGACTGTGCGAGGCTGCGAGCAGAAGTGCAAAACAGCTTGAGACCGGGTTTTTAAGCTTTCCGAGAAGAATTATTACAAGACTACTGAGCCCGATGCATTGATATTCCCAACTATGCTCGAATGACATCTATAACATTTATAAAGCAAGAGATAAGCAGTTAAACAAGCTTCTGCGGTGCAGTGATCTCGTATCTTCATTGATTCGTCTGGGCGACCAGCCTCTCGTTTCACAATTTTTGATGCCCAAAACGCCCAACAATATTACCTTCAAACCCTTATCCTTACTCAATCATCTCTCCCACGTCTCCAATCCCCTCAACACCACCCTCGCCTACCTCCCCACTCCTAACAATTCGTCCCTTATCAAGTACAACACACGCACCCGCGCCTCCAACAGCCTCCACACGATGCGCAATAACAACCACCGTACTCCCTTTCATCTCCCTCCTCAAGACATCTTGAATCTTCCCCGCTGTTTGAAGGTCAATACTTGCGGTAGCCTCATCCATAACCACAATGGCACTCCTCCTCAACAAAGCCCTGGCAAGTCCAACAAGTTGTCTCTGTCCCTGACTCAAATTCCTACCCCCAGTATCAATATGCATATCTAATTCCCACTTATGTTTATCCGCCATTTTCTTGAGGACGGAGAGACATTCGACGTCCGTATACTCGGAGAGTGGATCAAGGTTGAGGCGCATGGAACCTGGGAAGAGAATTGGTTCTTGAGCGAGGAAAGTGATGCGTTTACGCAGGGCTTCAGTGGACACCTTTGAGATGTCGATATTGTCTATCAGGATTCTTCCTGAGGAGGGGAGAGTGGTGGCTAGAATAGAAAGTGCGAGTGTACTCTTTCCGGAACCGGTGCGGCCTATAAGTGCTGTCGTGCTGCCCCCTTTTATTGTGAGAGACACATCTGTGAGTGCAGGCTCGAGATGAGGTGCATATTTGATGGTGACATTCTCAAATACAATATCCCCGTCCATAGATGGCCAGTATGCTGGCGGTTCGGTGTCACCGGGAGGCTCCTGGTCAAGGTGGAGAAGTTCAACAACACGTTCTACCGAGACGAAATCCATTTGCAGCTGGCCGTATTGTCGACATAACGCATGCGTCGAGGAAACAAATCTTGAAGCTGCGGTAAGAACGAAAGCAGTGAGACCAGGTGATACACCTGTAAAAACAGCCAACGCAGTCAAGAGAAATGTGGAAACGGCCGATAAACTGTCAAAGCGATACATCAACCAAGCCTGTAAACTCCAATAGAAATGATCCATTTTCTGGAAAGCATCTGTGACAGTGATGACACGTTGTTGGAAAAGTAGAGAGACTTTAAATGCTCGAATACTGGTTAAACCAGTAGCAAGTTCCCCGAAATTCGAGATCAATGGAGTAAGAGACACCATTTCGAGACGACGGAGACTTTGAGAAGTTGGAAGGAAGTGGGTAAATATAGTCACAAATGCCAATGTCAATCCAGTTGCAAAGACCAAGAAGATTGGTGTAACTGAACCGATGACAACAACAGATGTGATCCATGTAATTGAAGTCCTCGCAACTCTTTGGAACAGACTGCTTATATTTCCATCAATAGTGTTGATATCTGAAGTAAGACGATTCATCAATCGACCGACAGGAGTAACATCATAAAATCGAAACGTGGCGTGAGTTACGCGACTCATAACCCTCTCAAACATATTCTTTCCACCTTGATAAACAATGACCAGCATGAAAATCTGATATATCAGATATGTAACAGACTGAACCACTGCAATTATGAGGAAGCCCACAAGCCAAGGCTTGATATTCTTCTCAGGGTCAGGTAATTTGCTAGGTGGTCCATCGAAATTGATGATTTCTTTTGTAGCGCCGTAAGCCTCACCCCATGCTTTTAGAAACCAGGTCTCTCCAACGCCCGCAAGACGGTATAAGAGCAAGCCACATACAAGCACAAACCACCATTTCAGCTTTCCTGCTTTGATATATTCCCAATAAATTGAGAACTTGACACCTCCAAGTGCCCGGTATTCATCTTCCATGAATTTATCCGGGGTAGCAGCTGCTTCATCCTCGCCCTGAGCTTCCTCGTGGGCGGATTCATGTGAATGTACCCGTCGAAGCTCGTCAGTGACAACAGCTTCATGGTCAACGACTTCGGCATGACCATTGGAAACTTGAACCAACTGATCTGCGATGTGCATACACAAGTCAGTGCGATGTGTCACCAATAGTGTAGTCCTATCCTTAAGTAAAGGCCCAGAAATACATCTTCGTACGATGGATGAAGCCGTTTGATGGTCCAGAGCAGAAAGAGGATCGTCCAGCAATAAGAACTTTGCTTGCGAATACACGGCTCTTGCAAGGGACAGTCGAGCTTTCTGTCCTCCTGAAAGACCAACACCATTTTCGCCCACCAAAGACAGATCGCCGTTTTTGAAACCAGCCATATCAGGGAGAAGAGCGCAAACATCCAAAACATGTTTGTACCGAGCCTCATCATATGGCGAAGAGAAAAGGATATTCTCTCTTATACTCATAGACTGAAGCCAAGGTGTTTGAGCACAGTACCCAACAATATCACTCGATCTTTCATATTCGCCACTCAACTTGTCCAACTCTCCAAGTAGAGCCTGCAGCAAAGCCGTTTTACCAGTTCCCACCTCGCCATAGATGACAGTCAACCCTGGAGGGAAAGATAAAGTGAGATCTTTCAAAACAGGGTCTGTAGCACCCGGCCAAGCAAAAGTAGCATTTTTCATTTCCAACGTAGACCTTGTTCCTGGAGCCATATCGGCTTCCTCTTTGTCTGGCTCGCTCATAAACTCTTCAATACGAGCCATTGAAATCCTAGCATTCAGAAGAACGGTGATGAGATTCGGTATTTCCTGGAGAGCAACCTCTAATCGAACAAATAACTGCAATGCCGGGAAAGCGACATCGACTGTCAAAGGTTTACCGGCCAAAGTAGTGTACGCCCAGAATGCAACCACCGGAAACATTCCACTCGCGAGAATATCAATGAAATCAATCAGAAGTCTCCATAAACTGGAAATTACTCGAAGCGTCAATTCCGCTTGTCGTGATTCCATAATCCGCGCCAGCCATACATCCTGCCAGCTGTAATAGCGTAAGTGTCGGATCGCTTCAACGAGCTGAGAGATTTTATGTATTTTCTTATCGGTTGCTACTCTTCGTTTTCTCTCCCATGCTAGTAAGGTTCGTGCGATAAAAGCACTGATGATTTGAGCAAACAGTACCGTCACGACTCCGAGGAGGCATGGCCAGCCAATCAATCTCCATATCAAAATGACAGATAAAATCAGACTCAGGGGTTGAGATACGAGAGAAGAAAATTCCCAAAATCTTTGTGCTACTTCGTAGGCATCAAATCTATACATTTGGTGTCAGTAAATGTTTCCGGATGCATAATTATCAAATCGTACCTCATCAAATTCATAATTTTCCCCATTGAGGCCTGTTCCAAGGATTTCTTCACATCCGGACTCTCTTCTTCTTGCTCCTCCTCCTGCTTCTTCGCCTTTGAAGGACTTTTGAAGTGACCGATGATTCTCTTCCATATAGTCAAATTCTTTGGCTCCTCTGTATCGACAGTGCCATTCGCGTTGGTTTCATTTCGTGCTTTACTACTCACACTAACCATCTTTCTTGACAGAGTTTTCTCGTACAACATTGTGATTAGTTCACCTCGAGATCTCTCGTAGGTTCTTCGTCCATACCAAAGCGTAAAAACTCCAGATTGCGCTTCGACAAAATTCGCCACCAAGGTCAACAAAGCATAAGTCAAAGTCGAACTCCTTGGTGCCTCGTTATTTTCCATACTCTGCAAGATTTTCTGCAACAGCACCGGCGTAGAAAAGTCTAGCATCTACATCAGCATAATTCTCGATCCCAAACTGAAGGGTTGAGGCAAAACTTACTTGCTACCAGTTCCAAAATCCCCAACGCTGATATAATAAAAAGATCCAACCCATTCGCTTCAATCAATCTTCTCAGAACTGAACCTTGCAACTCCCTAAATCTATCATGTAGCGTTCGATGCTGAAATTGATAGCCCAGGTCCCAAACATCCTCATCATTAAGCTGTCTGTTGTTCCCTAATTTGATCAGCGGCTTCATCCATGATACACTCATAAATTGCCAAAGAGTCAAATTGTCCTCTGGAGTACGAAGTCCACTGGTTGCAGGGCCGAAAGCAGGACTTATCATAAATCGAGGAAGATGAGGATCTCGTAGTGGCATTTGGAGAATGAGCAAAACCGCCGTTGAGGCGCAAAGTAGGACCATAATGGTGGGTGCATCATGATCTCCAATTCCAGGGAAACCATTGATCAAAACGGTGAATTGAGAAATCAGGATACTGGTGTGTAAAACTAATAAAGCCTTTGGGGTCGTTGCCGGTCGCAGAACAGCGATAAGAATGCAGGACGTGGCCCAAGATACAGCAGGAAATATCATTTCCAATCTCAGATCGGGATAGAAAATCGTAGGTAATTGCATAAACATTCCAACAACAGATACGATGAATAGCAATCCTGAGAGGACGGTAAAATGCTTCTTGGATTTTCGAGGTAAATCGTCATCCTGTTCCACGGTCTCTTTGATGAAAGTACTCAACCATTTCGGTCTAATTGAATATTTAGGGATGAGTTGTAAAATGTATCCGAGTACTATGCATATCGAGATGAATGCTGGAATGGCTGAGATAAAAGGAAGAACACATGATTCGAATTTAGCATTAAGTGGATCCTAATAAACATCAGCTCTGTATTTCTCATGAACTGAGCGAGAATAAGGTAAAACGCCCGAGTATAAAAACATACCCATATCCTTCCACACCTCCCCTCGAAAGACGCGTCAAAAAGCGTCTGCGGCCTGTAACTCAAATACACCTCATTCTTCCCGTTCCAGGGTTCCTGAAGTAATTGTTGCGCCATTACAGCTACAGTCGAGAATGATGTGTCCCCCTCATTCCAATTGTTCCAATGGTAATGGTGGTGTTTTGACGTGGAAGGATCAAAGCGATAAGGGAAAGATACAATATCAGATCTCAATAATCGAATGGTTTGATGAACCAAACGTCACCGCCAAATTTCAATCCCACTTTTACCCTTTGAGGTGCCAAGACTTACGGCTCTCGTTGGTCTGCACCGGGTCGGAATCGTCCGGATAATAAGCGTTACTGGCTTGGCCCCAGGGGCAAATTCTGTTTTTCCAACCAATCAATGTCTTGCCATCTCTCAACTACTTCATGTATTATGGCTAAGGGTCACAATTCCAGGCATATTCAAAGGTGAATAAAAAACCTCTTTGTTCAGTGGTGGTATGATGGTAGACAGAAGAAGGCAATTTCTCATATTTTAATTAACAAACATTAATTCTATAACCAAACGAACATTAATTGTCTATTGCTCTGCCTCTCTCACGCCTCTCATGAATCAGAAAAGCTAAAAAGAAACCAAAGGGGGGAGGAAGAAATAGTCAAGTGACTTCAAGTAAAGCAAAAAGAATTCTGAGCTCCCTACCTGGTTCGAACAAGTGACCTGAAGATAATTATCTCTTAGATGAGAAGCTGCAATCTTCCGCTCTACCACTGAGCTAAAGGAGCTTGCATTTCGCTTTTGATTATGGTTGAGGGGCCCGTATTTATGGCTAAAAAGCGTAGCATAAAAAGGACAGATGTGTGGCGAAAGGCGGAGGTTTGTTGTGGGCCGCTTTCAGGAATCACCCTGCATTTCACATATCTCGGGCCGAATTTGACCCATGAAAAATCTTACTAAGCAGCTCTACAAGAAACTACGAACAATAATACTTATTACGTCTTCCCCTCCACGCTAAGTGTCAGGGTATCACTAGGAGCGTACAAAAGACTGTTCCAGAATATGGTTGAGATTGATCGCGAGTCAGCTAAGAAGTCCTAGAGCTAGCTATTACTTATACACAACAAGAGGCCACGCTATTCTCCATTAGGCAGCTCCATACTATCTCCGATTAGGCAACTCCAACCCACTATTGCATTCACTAAGCGAAGCACCAAAACACTATACCGAGCCACATTCACGCCCTCACACTAAGCGATCTAGCCATTACCTATGGAATTCACGAACGTAACATTAAATAGTCTCTAATAAAATAGATATAACGTGGTTTATCAGCGAGTCGATCATATCACCGAGTCGATCACTTTTCCTTGGCACTACCTCCTCAAACTTCAACACACGTTTTCTTCAACTATTTACCATGGAAATTCAAACTCAAGAAGCGCGAATTACTCTAGCTATCGAGGCTATTCGGTCGTCCAAAAAACTAAGCAAACGCTCTGCGGCAAAGATCTACAATGTACCATATACGACTCTTTCCGACAGAATGGCTGGCCGAACCTACCGCCCAGATTCTCAAGCCAATTGTCATAAGTTGACTGAGTTAGAAGAGGAAGTGATTATTCGGTATATACTGGATATGGATTCCAGAGGATTTGCGCCCCGGCTCGCTGGTGTAGAAGATATGGCTAATTTTATCCTTGAATCGCGGGGGGGAAGACGCGTCGGCAAGCTCTGGGCCCATCGATTCGTACAACGACAACCAGACCTTAAGACGCGTTTTAATCGCGTTTACGACTTCCAGAGGGCCTTATGCGAAGATCCTGACGTGCTAGGCGCATGGTTCCGGCTAGTAGAGAATATGAGGGCGAAATATGGGGTTACAGACTCCGACTTCTACAACTTCGACGAGACAGGCTTTATGATGGGTGTTATTTGTCCTAGAATGGTTGTTACTCGTGCAGACCGACGTGGTAGAGGCAAGGCAGTTCAGCCAGGCAATCGGGAATGGGCTACAGCAATTGCCTGTATTAATGGGGAGGGCTGGAGTATTCCTCCATTCTTGGTAGTTCAGGGCAAGAACCATCTCTCCAACTGGTATACCGACGGCGGCCTCCCACCTAACTGGGTTATGAAACCGACAAGCAATGGTTGGACAAATAATGAAACAGGCCTGGAATGGTTAAAGCACTTTGATAAACACACTACAGCTCGTGCAAAGGGTCTGTATCGAATACTAGTTTTGGATGGGCACGAGAGTCATGAATCGGCTGAGTTCCAAGACTACTGTACGAAACACAACATTATTACTCTTGGACTACCTCCTCATTCATCCCATCTAACCCAGCCACTTGATGTTGGGTGCTATAGTGTGTTAAAACGAGCGTATGGTCGGCAGATTGAGACGTTTATCAAGGCCCATATCAACCATATTACAAAGGTTGAGTTCTTTCTAGCCTTTACAGCAGCATACAAGGAAACAATGACAGTCCTAAACTGTCAGTCTGGATTCCGCGGAGCTGGCCTAGTACCATTTAACCCGCAAGCAGTGCTTTCAAAGCTTGACGTAAGGTTACGGACTCCAACTCCCCCTCGGACGTGTAGTGCCAACTCCCTCCCCTGGGTGTCCCAGACCCCTTCCAACCCAACTGAAGCCCTTTCACAATCAACTCTTGTACGAAATCGTATAGCCTGTCATCAAGGAAGCTCGCCAACTCCACTTTTTCAAACAGTTGCTGCGTTAGCAAAGGGTACAGAGCGAATGGCACATGAGATGACCCTTTTGTCTGCTGAGGTCCGTACCCTTCGCGCTGCAAATGAAGCCCTAAGTAAACGCCGTAGGGCTAAAAAGACTCGTGTCCGCCAAGGAGGGGCACTTATAGTAGAGGATGTACAGGATATGTTAGCTCAGGAGGATGTAGATGAGCAAGTACGACGCGACATGCGTGAGGCGGGGGTTGGTTATAAGGAGGGGCAACCTTCTAGGCGGCGCTGTAGAACTTGTGGAAAAGCTGGTCATAACGCGCGAACTTGTCAAGAAGTTATAGATATATCTAGTTCGTCAGATATAGAGAGCGATAATTAATTTAATATATTGTGGTTGATTTATTTAGGTGTAAAGTTCTGTGCCAAGAAAAAGTGATCGACTCGGTGATATGATCGACTCGCTGATAAACCACGTTAAGTTATAAACTACGTATTAAAAAAAGCTAAAACTAAATATATATTTTCCTAGTAATTTAATAATAGAAGGTTCTATTACTATAGTTTATATAGTAAGCGGGCGATATCGCTTAGTATATATAAGTTTAGCGAACGTATATAAGATAGTTAGGCGAAAATCTAGATATACCTAGGTACCTAGGTAGGTTAGAATAATATATTATTCTAAAAGCCTTAAGTTATATAATTAAAATTATTATATAGGCTATTTAGGATAATTTAAATTAATATATCTTTATTAATCTAAGTTATCTAGAATAATTAAGTTAATTATTTTAGGGATTCTAGAATAATAGGTTCCTAAGGTATATATAAGCTCTCTCTAGAATATACTACTCTTAGATCTACTACTCTAGATCTAGGTACTCTAGGTCTAATACTCTAGAATCTACTACTCTAGATCTACTACTCTAGAATCTACTATTCTATAATCTACTATTCTATAATCTACTACTCTAGATCTAGCTACTCTAGATTCTACTAGTCTATAATCTACTAGTCTCCTTTTCTTCTTACTTAAGTTAATCTTTTTATATATATCTCTAAATAATTTTAAATTACTAATTTAATATACGTTGCCTCTTTAGGCATTTGAAACTATAATTATTATCGGCTTCCTTATACCGAGTTATAAATTACAAGTAGATAAGTTAGACTAATTATTACGTATCGAAATCTTATTTATTATATTTAGTATATAATTTCATTTATACCGCCGCGTGATTCAAAGAGAATTCCCATATATAAGACGAAAAGATAAGAGGAAGAATTCACTTTAAGCTCTAAGCCGGCTTAGCCTTTACTATATCCTAACTCCTAGCTTATCCCCTTATAGGTTAGGATTTACTTTAATCTTAAAGGCGGCCCGGCCTTTATTATATCCTATCTCCTAGCCTATTATATTCGGGTAGTAAATTTCCGTAGTACTAGAAACTCTTGTTATAAGTAAGAGTAAGCGAAGCTAGTAATGTATACGCTATTACATGTATGGACTCAGTTACGCCATGTTATCTGCATATACATAAGGAAACGAGGGGTTACGAGAAGCTTGCCGTTACCCCATTGTCAGGTGAATGCGCAGGCCCTCCGATCCATCAAGCACACCAATCTCGCGTATAAACTCCCAGGCACCCACCTTCCTCCAAAAACACCAAGCCCTCCTCCACAAACACCACCTCCTCCTTCAAAAACACAACACAAGTCCCATATCAACAAATCCACATTCAACAACCATTCCGACTGCATTAAGGGCCATACACGACCACACAGACTGCATTGCGCGTCATATACGACCACGCAGACTGTGAGATCTCCACGAAATATGGATGTCTACGACCCGCAAAGCGAGGCTGGCAAAGCCTGTCGGGTAGTGCACAATGCGCTAGCCACGTATTTGTATCTTGCGTTTAACTCGAGAATAGGTGAACGCGCCGTATTTACAGACAATTTCTTTCTGTGTATGCATGAGGAATTGTCCCGTGGCCTGACTATCGGAGAGGCCGTCAGATCGACTACCAATAATATGGATGGAACAGGTCCTTGCTGATGGTAAGCACTCTTCAAATCCGAAATTAGCATTACTAACCGTTCAATAGCAGTAGGCAGATCGTTCACATACGAAGACATGGACCGTGTCTTGAGGCGACCAAGTAAGTCTTTAATCTAACCCACGTCCTTGTTTTCTATCTTGTTTTATTATTCCTACTACTAACACTTACGAGCCTTACAAGATAACAGAGCCTCCCGAGAGCCCGCACCGACTACATTAGCTACTGGTAATATTACCCCAGGTAAGCGAATCCAATGTATATTATTCAATGCCCGAGGTTAATAATTGAATTTAGGTGGATCAGTAGTTCCAACAACTACAGAGTCCATCTTAGCTCCGACTACTCCAGCCAGCATTCCGACTACAGCCACAATTCCGACAGCGAGTATTCCGACTGCTACTCAACCTCCAGCTATTCAACCTCCAGCTGTCCAACCTCCAGCTGTCCAACCCGTAGGCTAGATCACTTTGGAAACATGGAAAGAGAATCGACAGGCAGCCTGTAGGTAATTCTGGGATCAGATAGTTAAATTGATTATTTCAGGGATTCTAGAACAATAGGTTCTTAAGGCATATACAGGTCCCCTCTAGAATCTGCTACTCTCTAATTTGCTACTCTAAATCTGTTACTCTAGATCTGTTACTCTAGATCTATTACTCTCTAACACTCTAAATCTGACACTTAGGAATCTGCTACTCCGGATTCTGCTACTCTAGATTCTGCCAGTCTATAATCTGACAGTCTCTACCGCTCCGCAAGGAATACTGTTATTACTCTAAACGTACCTAGGTTAGAGTGGTATTATCCTAAACACTTGCTAAAGAAAAGAGTTATATAAGCGATTTAGGATAATAGAATTAATATATCTCTATTAACCCAAGTGATTTAGAATAATCAAGTTAGTTGTTTAAGTAATTTAGAATAATTAGAATAAATCTCTATCTATTAACCCAAGTGATTAAAATAATCAGGTTGGTTATTCGAGCGATTTAGAACAATCAAGTTAATTATCCTAGCGAGTTAAAATAATTAGAATAAATCCATCTCTATTACCCCAGGTAATTTAGGATAATTAACTTAATTGTTCCAGCGATTTAGAATAATTAGAATTAACATATCTCTATTCATCCAAATTATTCAGGACAATCGCATTAACTGTTCTAGGAATTCTTAAATAATAATTCCTTCAAGTGTCTCCAGAGTAACATACGAGTCTCTTAGTTTACGCTTTCAAATACCACTACTCCCTAGTCTATCTAATCTATTAAGGCAGCGTATTTCTCGTATATGCTGACATAATGGAACATATCACCTAATATACTACAACTCTCAATTCTTGAAATATAAAAGCATCAGATCAAAAGTAGGTTAAATCTCAGTTGAATCACAACTCTGCCTTCGCTAGTAAGGCTAATAGCAAAGTATATAAACAGCTCCCCCTGATCATCCTCTCTACTTTCCCTTCCAATATAACACTCCACTAGTATAGTAAACGGTTAATACCTTCAGGTCTCTCTTATCCTCGGATAGTAACATCTCATCCTCTATAAGTTGTATCATCCACGTTTTTGGCTATAGTTGATCCATCCTCGGAGTATAATCACATTGTATTTACAAAACTCTTAATCACCCTGAAAAGAAGTCTTCTAATTCATCTGTTCCACTTTATCTACTACGCCAATACCTTCAAGAACGTATACTTTCGTAGTTGAAAAAGGAATACTGGTACCATACAATCACCACTTCCAGAATCCACTATATCTTTCACCATAAACCCAAATAACACTCCCGTATTTGAAAGTGATATCCAGCGTTGAAAGTTCGGCATCTGTAATTTCATTCCATTACACAGCCTACCACTACAAGGATTCCCGGTAAAATAGCATTTCAAAAGTCCATATAATCATCTCCATCCACCGAACGTAGGTACCAGAAAGTTTCATAGACTAGATAACATTAATCACAACACCCCACCCACCCCCTTAGACCGGACTATCATCAACATCCCCCTCCACCATCCTTTCAACAAAAGAAAACAACTCCCGAATACAAAAAAAAACGATACTCTAACACTAATTTATCTATAAGCGTCAATTATAAAAGCGGTTATACTCCTTACTAGCAGCAAAAGTAAGAACGAAAGAAGCCATCATTCATACCCCGTGTAAATGAGTAGGGAAGGCTAAATTCAAAGATTATAGAGAGGTGGATAAGGAGGAATATAACAATCACGGTAGAAATACACTACGTCCTTCACAAGACACCCTCCCCCTGATCATGACGACCAAGAAGAATTATATGAACAAGGGGCGTTTTTCGAATAGTTTAGTTCTTGCTCCGACATGTACTCGAGTAGTGGTGTTAGTAGAATCTTGGTCTCCTTACAAAGTTAGAAATATTAAATTCTTCTATTCTTCTTGATCACATTAGGTACTGTACGGTATACATACTACCGTAATAGGTAAATTCAACAACAGAATCCACATCTACATTATAAATACCCATACCCATACAACACAACAGAACACCCCAACCCATCATCCCACAAACCTCAAAGACCCCTTAAATCCAAATCCAAATCCAAGCCCACAACCAGAATCCCAGAATCCCAAATTCAACAACCAAACTCTACCTCTACTTCCCCCACTCTCCTAGCCTATACAATGCCACGGTATTCAGATATCAGTAAGTTACGTAATACGTCTTCTACTAACACCATATATTCATTTCACAGTTCTTTCGCGCGCGGGAGCGCGAGAGAGAGTATATGTAGAGCATATGTATCTACTCGTATATGTACATAAAACCATAAATCCCAGAAACAAATCCCTTCCACCAAGTCTCCTCTCTCTTCCAAGAGCTCTGATCACTCCAAGTTTCAAAATCGTAAATCTATACTAAGATAAGCTCCGTCACTTAAACACGAGAGAGGGGGAAGAGACATCATTCAACATAAGAATCCAGGGATTTAGCTTGGTAGCTCATCCTCGTCCTCGTCCTTGTAGAGACAGTAAAGGAACTCATTGTCCAACTCACATCACGTAATCCGAATAATCAACATAATTACTTGAAAACATATACAGTAAGTTATTTACGTAGGGATGTATACTCGTACCTGTGCTAAAAGCACAGAGCAATAAGCATACAACTCACCATCTTATATCACCACCCCTATTAATATCAACAATTCACACAAAATCACCCACAAAACAAGACCCCAATATAACAATAAAAAATATATAAACAGTAATCTATACCTACTCCAAGCAATCATACTCATGTGAATCACGATTTAGACACCGCCCCAATGCAAAGCCCGAGTCCGAGTCCCATAACCACAAAACACCATGAATATGCATACCCCATTACCAATAAGTTTAGTAATTACATTTCCTTTCCTGGAAAAAAAAAAAAGACTCCCTCCGGAAAAACGCCAGCCGGGCCACCTTTTCGGCTATGCATGGTAAAAAAGCTCCCACAAATGAAATAATGAAGAATTCTTCTAGCTCAGTCCCTCGTTCGAGAAGGTACCGCAGTATCTACTTTTCATAGTGCTCTTCGAAATGGGCATTAGCGAGAGCGACACCAGCGCTGTTTTGGGGCGCTCCTCCTTGTCGGCTGACACTGTTCTGCCGGCTTCCCATGTTCTGTCGAACCATCATATCCTGGTGAGAGCGTGCGAAGCTTCCTTTTCGGCTTCCTGTACCATAACTTGGTCGTCGACCACTGGCATTGTGTGCGGCTGCATTGAGTTGTTGTGCGAAAGGTGATCGCTTACGAAGAGTTGGTCCTTTCCAGTAGATTACATAGACGGCGAGGACAAGGACGAATGAGATGCATGCAAGAATGGTGGATGCATTTGCAAGGGCCTTCTCGGGAGTAGAACCAATGTCTGAATTTGTTAGTGTTGTTGTAATATTGTGGATATCAGGAAATGGAACTTACTTTGGAAGAAGGGTGTTGCTGGAATAGTAAGAACACCTGCAAGGAAATCACGAGCCCATCCGTTTCCACCCGTTGCTGATGCGGAATAAGGACCGTAGGCACAGATCATATAGTCGATAGTAGCCATGTAGATACTGTAGTTTGCGATACCGACGATAGCAGCAAAGATAGCAGAGGCGATCCATGGCAATGGTGGTCCAGTAGATGTCCAAGCGAATCCAATCAATCCAATCGGCAAGCAAGGTGCCGTGTAGAGAAGCCACCAAAGCCGAGATTCGTATTGTACCTTTTCATCATCTGGCTTGGCCTTGCGCTCTTCAATGTTTCGACGAATGACAGGGATGAAGGAAAACCAGGCGATGAAATAACCGATGAGAATTGGAATGAACGCCAGGCCTAAAGAAATCTTGCCGAATCCCCATTGCTTGTATACCAAGGAGAAAGATTGGATGAACATGAAGATGAGAGCATCGCTGAAGCCGGAAAGAAGAGAGAGGGTAAGAACGATTGGCTCAGTGACGAACATCTTGAATGGTCGTACCCAGGTGATGAGAATTTCCTTGGCGGAGAATCGCTCCCTGAAACCCACAAGCTCATTAGGACCATAGATATTGCGTTTTGGGTCAGCCTGACGTCTTGCATAGGCGATTTTGTCCATCATGATTGTCGTTCTGGTTTCAGGCACACAAACAAAGTGAAGAGCTTGAACGAAGACACCAAAGATCAACTGAATCCAGATACTCCATCTCCATTCGAGGTATTCCTCAGCGAAACCGCCAATAACTGGACCCAAGACTGAGCCACCAACTGATGAAAACACAACAAAGGCAACGGCATATTGTTGAGTATCAGCCTCCCACATATCTGCAATCATACCGAGAGTAACGGAACCACCAGCTGAAGAAAGACCACCAAGAGCACGACCAACCATGATTGTGGCAAAGTTCGGTGCGAGAGCCACTGGAATCTGCCAGATATTGACCAGGAGTAAACTGAGTTGTAGGATTGGCCTTCGCCCGAGTTCTTCACTCCAAGGTGCCCACAGCTCGCAGCCAAAAGCGTACATGACGAGGAAGATCATAGCACCACATCGTCCTGCTTGCTCACTAACCCCAAACTCCTCTGAGATTCCGGGGACGGCGTTCGAGTAAAGACTGGTGTTGAAGTTCATGGAAACTTGGACGGCGAAGATGACGGAGAGAATAGACCACTTCTTCATGTTGGAAAAGGAGTAACCGAGCTCTTCGTAACAGTCATCCTCGGTCAATTCGGTTTTGTCATGGGTTCCGACATGGGTCATGCTCGAGATGCTCTCCTCTTCGGATGGAGGAGAGACGGATTCCTTGTTGGGCTCCATGTTGGAGGATGGACGAAGATGGGTTGTCACACACAAAGAGATACAAGCGATGAGAATGTTGGATGTAATGTATATCCAGAATGGGGAACCCACAATTCATGCAAAGATGTATGGAAAACAATGGACGGAGCAGATGATATTAAGTGGTCGAAAGAGGGGAAGGGGTACTACTTAAGTATGTTTTTTTTTCTAGTTGGAGAGGTAAGAGCTAGGTAGGGTCCCGACGTCATAACTGAGGATCACCTGAACCCTGCATTGGTTGCGCTTGCCTGCGACGGCGGTTTTTTTTCCTTGCAAGCCACCCCGCGATCCACTCAAGTTACTCGGTACCCACATGAGGTGCAGTAGCATGGGTTGGATAGCTCGTTATAAGCTCATCCCACGCTCAACCATCGTATACTTCGTAAGAGACTTTTCTAGTCAGTGGGAAAAGGCAATAGAACGCAGATAGCGTAAAAGGCTGTTGTAGAAAAGTCATGATCATGATAACATGCTAAAAGACAGAACCGTCGGACCGTCGACGGATCGAAAATGAGATGAAGCTTTCCCCGGACAATCGAACATTCACTGTTCCCTTGCACTTGCCCTGACACCCACCGCTGCCAATCCTCCCGCGATTTCCAGGGTGCTAGAGAGGGGGCGGAGATTCCCCCGTGGGGAGAGAAGGTAGGTATGAAGTCAAGTCTGGACAGCTCGCGTCTCGCCGAACTAAGCTGCCTAACCTCTTGACTCAATGACTTGTAGGTGCTGGCTGAGTAATGCAAGCCCAAGGAACGGTAGGACTCTTGTTTGTAGTATAATTAGCTATTATGCCAAGAAGCGCATAACAACCAATAACAATCAAATAAGACGGGAGATCCGACTATTGGGGTCGGTTATACCGTCTATGTAGAGGGTAAGTTTGTAGGAATCGGCTCGAGCCGAGCGGCTAGCCCGGCCGGAATAATGCTCGGTCTTGCCGCGGGGGCTCGGGCCGATTTGCTCCGTGCGACTCAAGTAATACTCTTCTACTCGAGTACAACAGTACTCAAGTCGGCTGGAGTAGGGCTGAAACCCCCTTGAGCATGGCAGAGTAGGTGCTTCCAACCTACTCTACTTATTGCGAACGCTGCCTTCACTCCAAGGTGAAACACTTGCACGTAAGGATGAGATAGTTGGTCGTACGAGTACTCTCCACCGCCAAACGTGTGTGAGATAAGAACAGCCGAGCGTACCAGTAGGGTTATGGTATCTAGGGTCTAGCAAAGGTTAGTAGCAGGTAGATAAGAGTAAGCCGGGCTAGCCAGACCGTTCAGTAAATTTACCCATAGACTCGGACTTCCAGGACCCATCGCAAAGTATGAGTAAAGCCATCAAGTTCAGCTCAACCGGTCAGTAACGGCGCTGTTAGAGACTGCACCTATCCCCCACAGAGTAGCGTGAGCCATGAGAATATTTTGTGGGGTAGTGTAAGATGGTAGACCATGTGAGGTCCCAGACGGCGTAATTGACATGAAAATGCGCCGTTGGAAAGCGGACAGCCCTTTGCAAGTCCAACCCCCTTTGGAATGGCAAATCTGGATGGGTACTCGAGTACAGGTCAACGATGATGGCTAGAGTTGGCCGAAATAGGTCATAGATCATGTGGGTGGCAGAAGCCATCGTTGGCCCACAGCTACGCAGGCCCTGATTTGGTAGCGAAGGGTAGCGTAGCGCCATAGGCCCATAGTGGGCAGTTTTTGTGGTACCTGGTACTCTCGTACGAGTACTGTAATACACTGGGGAAAAGTTGGAGTGAATGGAAGGCGGAGGTGGAGGTGGAGGTAACGGTTTGGCTTACCGTTTGGGGCAGAAAGATGGAGTTGATTGGTTCTGGGTCGATGACGTCGCTTCTCTTGCCTCCCTCTCTTGCTCACCGCTTTCGTCACCTTTCTCGCTAGATCGTCTCGTCACACTCGAGTATCACTGGCCGTCGTCCTGGCTCGGACATTTATGCCGGAAATTTATGGTCGTGAATGATGTTCAGCTTCTGTCATAATGATCGGTCGTTGAAATACGCGCACGGAAGAGACAGTGAAGCCTTCCCGTTGAGCCTCATGGCTGAACCAACCAATTTTGCCCATCTTCAGACAAGCAATGCCCAGCGACGATGCCGAGCGTCTTGGGTGTAGATGTGGATCGGACGCCCAGCCCAGCACAGTCTGTACGCCGAACCATCGGTTGATCGTACACAGGGGGCCCTCAACCACTTCCATTCTCACTACCTTCGTACTCAATACATACCATAAGTATCAGTACGATCGAGTAACGATGCTTCTGGAGTTGACATTCCTACAATCACACAAGTGCTGTGTGTGCATGAGGTGCCATTGTGCGATTCTGCCGCAACTTATAGTATTATTATTCTCACCCCTTCTCTTTCCCTACCATTTACGAGTACTCATCAAATATTTAAGCACGCATAAATACAAGTAAGCTACTCCGCTCTATACGAAAATGTCTCGGGCAACTGATAACCAGAAATATAATATTCGATACGTTGTTTGTATCTTGATTTAGCTGTGACTTGAGAGTAAGTTTAGGTAGCAATACTCGTGGTCGGTGACCTTGACCCATAGGGTGGTTAAAAGAGTGGCAGTCTTTTCATACAACGAGGCTTGTCAACAGATATCCTTTCCCGTCTTTTCATTGCATGATCGTGTGGTTTCTGCATGACTACCCCCACGAAGCGATTGGGTCACGGGCAATTATTCCGGGATTGTTGGGGGTATGGAAAAATGATAGCTCATAGTTTTTTAGAGGGCTGCCGAGACTCTTATTCGCGGAGATTATTGCTTTGGGGACCGGGCCGAGAGCTGTATACGTTATGCTATATATCTTTATCAAAATCAACGAATGTCTTTGAGAGTAATCTGAAATTACTCGAGATAACGTCAAAGCACTCACCTACAATGTATCATTAGCGAGAAGCGAAAAACTTATGATATCCAAAGTATAGATCTACCTTAACCAAGTATTTTGACATATAATGTGGCTTGTGTAACTCTTGTGATCAGCCTTTTAGTAGGCGACGTGGTTTTACTCGATATACACCTACTGTAAAATAATATTTTGCTAAAGACCTTATTCAATTAACAAGGTTTTGGGAACAGTTTGTAATGACAACTACCACTTACCATCTATTAACCTCAGTATACCAGGACAATTGAGTCCCTTGAAGTTGTGCCAGGTTACTATATTCATTCTCCAAGTGTCCAAATATCTATTCTTACATATCCACACTTCCCATCTTATCGCAGAATAGAATTACTCCTTCGTAGTAGTCCCACCAACGAACGCATCCTCCAACTCATCAAGAAGCGCAATAGTAGGTTTTCCGAAACCCAATAAAACCCTCATAAAACTCCCTACAACGACCCTCAAGTCCACTAACATCCAACAACCCATCACCGTCCACATGCTCCTCAACATACGTAATCATATCCAAAAAGAACCCCACATAAGAGCCTCTACGCGCTATCGCAATAGATCGTACATAAGATTCCAGAAGTCGGTGCGCCGTTGGGATCTGGACGGGGAAAGTCGTATTACGAAACCTGCCATGTCCACGACCTGGCCGTTTGGTGGGCAGACGGGAATCAGATGCAGAAATGATGTCCACGGATTGTGTGGATTGTGTCAGCGACGGGAGAACCCACAGAGTTGTGGATTGCTCATACAGAGAAACGGTAAATTCGGAGTCGATGTGGAAGTGGGATTTCGGAATTGGAGACGCTCGGTTCTTTGCGATTGCGGTGCATGTACTTGGTTCTGTGCAGGCGAGAAGGCCGGTTGGTTGGAGAGCATGTGTGGCGTTTGGGATGAGCGAGTCGGGGACTATGAAGTCGATTGACTTGAAGAAGTTAGTTATGTAATCTTGCTTTGAGATAGTACGAAGCGAAGCTCACATCAACAATTGAAGGTACGCCGTAGAGTGTGAGTAGGTAATTGCCCCATTGCACGCTGGGTATGCCATGCTCATTCAGAATCTGGGATATGGATCCAACGAGATTCTCATCAATTGTGGTGGTGTCGAGTGCCGCAAGCGAATTCTCCATGTCGAGTCTTTTCTTGGTTTTGTTTGAGTGAGCTGAGCTTGGGAGTATGTGCAAAGATTCGGTTTTCAACACTGAAGGTAATAAAAAGTGGAGTTTTAGGCAGAAGTGAAGGATACCAACTTGCCAAGGGTCTGGTTGGCTTGTGTTGTGAAACCTGAGAGAGGTGTAAGGTAAGGTGGGATTTATGAGGCTATGTAAGAGTGGTTGTCTACGTATAACTTCGTAGTTAGGGGACAGATATGGGACAGATATATTGTAGAGACCTAGCTCGCTTAGTGGATTTTGGGAACAAAGTCTCTCCTTTCACATCAAGTACAAGAGAGAATTAACTATTGAAGATACATCTATTTGAGAACTAATACCCAAATACTCTCTCTCCAAAGAATTGTGATGGCCCTAATAACTCTTACCTTCTCTCCTTTGCAGTACAAACTCACCCCGATGATTCTCATCCACCCCCTCATCAAAAGACCAACATAGATTTCACACCACCGAATTTCATATGCGTCATAGCCCACACTCCTATTTCCATGTATCAAGTCCAGCCCTCTTTCTTTTTCCTGTGAGACGCTTAAAAAACTTGGTGTTCTCATTACGAACACCAAGGTAATCGGAGGCGGAAATCTATAACAACATCTGCCTCGTATTTTGCCAGTCTACGAACTACTGGACACCAGTTTCTGGCCACAGGAGGAACCACCGGAGCCATGAATTAATCGAGTCAATTTAAATCCCCAACACGTTTAAGTGGTAGTGCTACAACAGCATCGAGACCTATTAGCGTCGTAAATCTCATTCTCTATTCAGTCGGATAACGGGCGATTCAAGATTGTCCTTTGATCTAAGGAGTATTTTATCGTTTCACCGTGTCCAATAATAATACTTTCGCGAAAGCGGGTCTTCAGACTCTGAAGATAGACCCAGAATCCGCGCCCGGGTCCGTAGACGGCGGTTATGGGCTGATGGTGTTCAGGAAAAAGTAGCCCGAGGCAATGTATGCGTGAGGGGACGCAATGGACTTTGTGGTGAGTTGAAATACCGATATCAAAGATAGGATTGAAATCCCAAACACAGTTGAACACTTCAGGGTAACTGACACATATGAGTAGAATATGTAATCATATCTCCAGAATAACACACCAACCCTCCGTATCTCCCCTCTCGGCAGGATGATTCATAGGAAGACAGAGCTCTTATCAAACCGAGATCTCCCTGGAGATCAGCATAATTATGGCGTACTCAACGTACGAGGCGTGGTCGTTGCATTGTAATCTTACACGGTAACACGCCTCTCCTAGATTTGATTATCCTAAAAGCGTCGAACAACGAAATTAGTTCTACAAAGAGTTTAGACGAATTGTTATCACTTACCTTTTATGAATCATAGCATACTAATACGATTATTCCACTTGTGCTAGAAGTTTAGTATAACAACTTTCTAAATAATGTATAAGACAGACAACTAGGCGAAACCCTAGATACACCTATAGTAGATTAGAATAATAATTACTCTAAAACCCTCGTACAACTAAAATTATCATACGAGCCATTTAGGATAATGTGCATGTATAGCGAACCGGCCAAACAAGCGAACCGGCCAAAATTTTCTACACTCGCGATTGAAATTGTAAGAACTCTACCACAACGCCTCTAATTAAAAAACACTATTCAGAAATTTCTTCCTCAGATACTTCCTCTATAATATTACAGGTGCGCGTATTATGACCAGTCTCTCCGCAGTTGCCACAGCGCCGTGCACGTGATTCTTCCCTCGGCTTCCGACCACTACTTCTCTTTATTTCCTGCATTACCTGCTCACCAACGTCTCTATCATCCTGTAGGTCCTGCGCTTCCTGTTGACTAAGTGATCCTCCTTGCTGTAGGCGTGTTTTTTTAGCTCTACGGCGCTTACTTAGTACTTCATTTGCTTGTCGAAGTCTCTGGTTCTCAGCTTTCAATAGTACTATCTGGTGCATTACTTTTGATGCACCCTTCGTAAACTGGTCAATGGCCTCGTAAATAGGGGTTGGAGAGCTACTTTGGTGGCGTAAAATTCGATCTTTAATAAATGCAGTCTGTGATAAGGCTTCAGTAGGGTTATTTGGTGTCTGGGAAACCCAAGGCTGAGCGGAATACGGGGGGGAGTTTGGAGGCGTTGGCGTCTTTAGCTTAAGATCAAGTGTAGAAATTACACTTTCTGGGTCAAATGGAAGAAGCCCAGCCCCTCGGAACCCTCCTCGGATATTGCTTTCTGTCATTGCAATATTAAATGCGGCGTGGAAGGCAGGAAAGAAATCATCCTTAGTAATATGGATGATCGGAGCCCGCATCATATCTTCAATTTGCTGACCATATGCCCTTTTCAAAGGGCTAAAACAGCCAACGTCGAGTGGCTGGAGTATATGAGAAGAATGAGCAGGCATACAAAGAGTGATAATGTTGTTTTCCTTGCAATATTCCTCAAATTCGTCGGAGTGGTGGCTTTCATGGCCGTCGAGGACTAATAGACGATAACCACCAATAGATTGGGACTTTGTATGCTTCTCAAAATGTCGAATCCAATCCATGCCTTTCTCATTTGTTGTCCAACCATTTTCAGTAATAGCAATCACCCAGTTAGGTGGAAATCCACTGTTTTGGTACCAAGAAGCGAGGTGATTTTTTGCGGCAACAATCACAAACGGTGGAACACACCAGCCTTGGGCATTAACCCCCTGGATTACTGTAACCCATTCCCGATTACCAGGCTGTACTCTTTTTGCTTTTACACGTCCTTCTGAGCTTGTAATAACCATTGCAGTTGAGATAACGCCCATCATAAACCCAGTCTCGTCAAAGTTGTAGATATCTGCATCGTAGATTCCGTACTTCGCTATTGTGTTTCGTACAAGCTCAAACCAGCCACGAATGACTTCTGGATCTTCGCACTTAGCTCTCTGATAGTCGTATTTTCGTTGGAAGCGTGTCTGGAGTTCTGGGCGGCGCTTAACAAAGTTATAAGCCCAACGCGTCCCGACGCGTGGCGCGTCGCGTGCTTCAAGAAGTCGATTTGCTATATCTTCAATTACAGATATCCGCGGAGGAAATCCTTTTGTAGCTAGGTCGAGGATATGTTGAACAAGTACTGATTCCTCTAGCTCGGTCATTTTCCGTGAATTGGCTAAAATATCGCGTCGTGAAGGTATACCAAGCAAACGTCGACCTAGCTTCCGGTGGTCTACAGAATAGGTCCTGGCAGCAGCTCGAGCACGTAAATTTGGGTCTTTTTGCATAGCTTGGATAGCTAAGACTAACCGGCTTTCGTCATTTTTCAGAGGCATCCTTCGTTGTAGAGAAATTTAATATTTCGTGGAGGTGTGGTGGGGTCGCCGGGTTTTGGCCGGTTCGCTTGTTTGGCCGGTTCGCTATACATGCACGTTAACGTATTAAGCTTACTATTTATATAGATTTAAAGTTAATTTATAAATACTCAATAAAACTTAGTACTACTAAGGAAAAGCGTCTTATAATTAATATTATAACTTTATAATAAGTATACGAATAACAAGAGATTTATAATATTATATAAATTAAAGGAGATTTAAATCTTACTAACGCTATAATAAAATTAAAGCTCTACTAGGCGCTTATAAAATTAATCGATTGAAATAAGATTAATATTATAATTAAAAAGTAGGTTAAACATAATAATAAAGATAATAGATCTAATAATAATTTAGATTAATAAGCAAAACATTAAAGATTCTAATTAAATAAGAGATATAGAATAGGATAAATTTAGTTTAGCTAATTAGTTATTTTAGTACTAAGTATTTACTTCTCTTTTGAAGAGTAAATCTAGTATTACTATACAAATATTAAGTAAATACTTAGTATAAGTTATAGTAGGTATAAGTTAGCCTTAGGGCTAGTAGGGGTACTAGCGTCTTAGTACTACTATACAATAGTAAGTACCTATAACCTTTACTCAGTGTACATATCTGATAGTCGAATACGATACTATTCTATTTGTATCAACACTTTGTCTAGACTCTCTATTCGAGTCAAACTAACAATATCTGAAACTTTTAAGAGGAAAAAATACCAAATGCTTCTGTCTGAAATTATCAAACAATATTATCGGATCTTATTATCTAGGAATATCTATCAACCTTATTTAATGCAGCCTCTTATATCAGGACAAATGGAAACGAAATCACCTCCTGGCTAAAGAGGCCAGTCCTTATGAAAGAAAAGATTTCATTGTACATCAACATGCAGACTCCCTATTTCCAATGAACGATCCTACCATAGAACATGATACCCAATGCAGATCCAGAGAGAGAAAAAACGCCCAGCATATACAAAACCTCATTCAGTTCATCGATCCACCACTCCGATTAGCACCTATCAAGCCCGCCATCTCCAAAAGCGCCCTATCAGCCTCAATATCTCCAGTCCCAAGATTAACCCTCCTCCTAGCTTCCGCTTCTCTCTCCTCCCAATTCCATCGATTCCTCTGTTCCTCGGCCTCGGAATCTCCCCCGCATCCCCAGACCTCTAGACTTTCAATCTCGAACCTGTCTTCGAAATCCATCCTCCTCGTCTCGGAATTGTGGAAGGCTCCCCCGAAAGACGTGTAATTATGCGTGAAGACCCCGAATTCAAACGAGGAGTCGAGCATTAAGGACACTGGTCCCAGGTTTACGTGGTTGGCTAGGCCGGATGTTTGTTTTTGTTTTGGGTGGGGAGAGCCGAAGGAGATGCCGCAGTGGGATGAGGGCGGTTTGGTGAAGGAGATGTAGTCAGTGTTCAAAGTTGAGGCGTGGAAGACTTCATGAACGGGTTCTAATTGGAATAGCTTGGTTTCTGAGTCCCCAAAACATTCTTTATGGGTTGCGTGCCACGGCTGGGAAACGTAGACTCCGAACGTGAGATGCTCTGATTTACTGCTATCAGGGAATCTTTTGGGACGAAGAGTATCGGAGAATGCTCGTTCTTGACCACCGGAGGGAGGGTCTGAAATTCGGTTTCCTGATACGAGGAGGATTGTTGGGGCTCGCCAGTTGAAAACTTTGGTTTCGAAGCTTCCGAGTGAGAATCCTGCATCGGCACCAGAGTACAACAAACGCAGTCGTCGAAACAAGGAATCCCCAGGTAGGAAAAACGAAAGTTGTGAGAGTACATTCAAGTCTAATATTTCTCCTTCCCGCTGGAGGAGTGGTGGGGCTAAAGCAGGATCTGACTGCGCTTGGGTAGTCGATCCATCTTTCCTTTTTGTGAAATCAATGTTTTTAGAAAATAGAAAGCGCTCAAATAAAGGATTGAAGCCATTGAAAAGAAATGGTAAACTGATTGGTATCACCGCATTAAACTGATGAAATTTGACACCGGGAATCTTTTCCACGTTCACAAATGCTGCTAGGATGTTGTCTGCTGTTCTGCGCAGACCTTCGAGATGTTCGCCTGTTAATCGTCCAGCGTGGTGGGCGAGGCTTTCTTGGGTACTAAGTGGCGCGATGAGGAGAAGAAGCATTATTAGCTTCTTGAGATTATCGGACGGTATTGAGGCTTGGGCAATATGAAGATCGCCCTGTTTGTACACCTCTATCGCATCTAATGATTCCAAGGCCGCAAGAGCTAGATCATCTTCATCCTCCTCTTCATCCTCAACGCCTTCATCGATCGCAAATCCGGCAGCATGACTTCGAGGAGGACCATCGGTAGCCGGTTCTCCTATATCTACACCGGACCCCTCCATTTCATTCGATTCCGGATGTGTTTCTTTTCTATCAAAAACAGCCAGACTTCGAAATAGTAATTTTGTCCTGTCTCGATTGCCCTTCTTCAAGACCCTCTGATATCGCTCCGTCATAAGAACCACACACATCAGGATCTGTTCAAACCCAAGGACAGCGGGCGCATCCTGGCTGAATGGGAAAGCTCCGAGGTATGACAGCATCATAAATACAACCGATGATGCGTCAAGGAGGTCCGGCAGCTCGAGGAACCTCGCAATCGTGTCGACTTTGAGGAATGCGACGCCATCAGAATGCTCTGCAAGGCTCTTGAAGACATCTTGGAAGGAGTAGAGTTCGAGGGGCGTGAAGCATCGTTTCGCAAACTTCTCGGCCTGGTAGATATTAGTTTCTGCTATGGTAGGATGTGCTAGGGGGACTTGCCAACTCGTGGCTCAGCTGCTGGGTGGTAATGCGCTTTTCGCTCCTACCCGACTGAGCTTGACCCATGGTTTGATGATTTTCATGGATTCATAAGGCGACAGATGGTAGCTCAAGTCCAGCTTGAGTGTCTCGAGAAATAATTGTAAGTTTTAAGTTGTAAGGAAGTTGTGGTCTGGCCTGGAGCTGTAAGCTTGGGTAAGGTATAGGTAGGGATCGGTGTTCCGCCCCGCCAAGTGACATGGCGGGGCAAACAGACAAAGCTTTGTGGTGGAATAGTGCCGTACAGTAATGACTTTCTTCTTCTTTATTTTTTATGGGATGAACATAATGAACCCATGTCACCTATCTCAGTCATCTTAATTACTTGCTGTAAAAGATACAAGTCTTTTTGAAGCTATTGGTACTTCCTAACAGTACTTTATTTCATCAATAACACCGTCTAGCCAGCAAAATCCAACTAAACTCCACTCGATTATGTACATAACATGCTAGAACTATATTAACATTTCTTCTACTTGGGAAATTTTGTGCTAAGAACTATATCCACTCCGAAGTCCAAAAACCAATAGATCAAAAACCAAGATATTCAAAGCAATAGAATTTAGTTAAGACCCCACGAACCCTCGTTATACATGGTATCTGACGCATCTCTTTTACTACAAACAAACAGGAAGAACCAATAAAACTCATATATCTCAGCAAACAAAAGAAAAGAATGAACGATCTCAACCACTTCTCCTGGTCTCCTGCCATTCCTGACAACCTGTACGCTGGCAGATCAATGACCATGAATAGTCATGCCAGTAGGAGCCTGATATCCCTGTTTAACTACACCGGATTTCTGCTTGGCAATGACTTCCTTCTCCTGTTGCATCAGGGTGCAGCAGTTGCAACACCAACTCAACAAGCAATCCTTTACATTATCACCGCGGATATTGTAGGATTCTCGGATTTCGGTTCGCTTCATGCAGGAGAGAAGCCAAGAGATACCGAAGCAATGTGCTCTGTTGTAAGTGTTAGTTTGGTCTTCTTGGTAAGTATAGTGGAAGCATGAAATTGAGCTTACCCCGTCCACATGAGACAGTCAGTGTTGACCAACTCATAGCTTCCAAGTGTGGGATCACGGGTTCGTGCTTGGGTTTTGCCGTAGGTGATGCAGGGGCAGAAGTAGGTTTGGGCACCCACTTAATAAAAGTTAGTACGTGATGTTTAGAGAGAAAGGAATTTGGGAGATGACTTACAGAGTAGGTCTTCCCCTTTGAAACAGTCGAATAGACCGTGTTCCCATTCTGCTTCACCTGTGGGGGTCTTGGCTTGCTGGAAGTTCATGTTGGTAGAAATGCTCTTTGGCTGTGGGAGAGATTGCTTGATGTCGGACATTTTTGCTGAGTTTTGATGGTTCAGATTATGTATGTGGTGATGAAGAAAGTGGGTTGAAGATTTCAATGCGAAATTTTGAGGGTACTGGTATCGTGATTCGATGAGATTCAGAAAGAGTCGCGTGTGGGAATGACTGTAATGAATGTTAAGAAGACAGTTGCGGTGCGGTGTGGGCGTGGTATGATAAAGGCAATAAAGAAATGAAGGACTGTTGGGACTGTTGAGACTAACTTAACGTTGGGGGGCGAACAGACTTATAGAAGTTTTTGAAAGTTCTCCATCACATAGCCGATAGAGATTTTTAGAGCTCAGACTCTAAAACCGCCTTGGTACACTCAAGGGCAGCCATTTGTTGTGAATTCATCATTTCCACCCCCTGATAGTAAGATATATCCGAGGCCGTGCAGTACAACTAAGGCTGAGAGCCAAATTGTTCACTGCATCCTGGAGTAATTTATCTCCAGCCATATGTGATTTGCAGGTTACACATGAATACGGTAGTAAAATTGCCCGTTTACGCCAAGCCGAAGGATGCTCTTGAAAAGGTCGTTTTCGAGAGTTCAGCTGATATTTCCGTCTCTGCATTGCAGTAACGATCTTTTCTTCTTCAAACCACCCACAGGTTTATTTTGGATCCCTTCGATGCAGATGGCACGATCACGGCGATTAAGCTTTTGAACGTGCTCCCGTTTAGCGTTCTGTGTGACTTATTAATTTCATTCCTCTTCAGCCCTGCGAAAAGGGGCATCTCGGTAGTAGGTCAGTTTGGGCCTCCAAACCTACTTGTTTCAATATTTTTGCTAAGAATCACGTATTCCGACTCGACTATGGTTCCATTCCGTAGGATTCTTGGGGGAGGTAAGAATTCGTCCTTGCCATAGCCCATTTTCTCATAGAAAGCCATGGCCTTTGCATTACTTCTGAAGCATGTCAACATCACCTTTTCAGTACCGGGGATTTTCTCCGCAACGGCTTCAAGCATCCGTATCAAAGTAGTACCAAGTCCCGTCCTGCATACGAAGCCGGTCAGTACGTGCAGAATTTGAGGGGAGTGACGAGGCTACCCTTGTAGGGCTGAAGATAGATGGATCTCGTAGCAGTATATGACTGGGTAATCATCTTCGAAAGTCGGCATGAAGGAGACGAATCCTTCGACAGTTGCCTGGTCGTTTTTGATGAGTAAATATTTCAGATCTAGTAGCTTCATCTCGTTGGTTTTGGACCGAGGTTTCCAGCCGTTTTTGGAATTTTTGTAGTGCTCGTAGCTGGTGCTGTGGATGAGATTGAAGCAGGCATCAAAATCGGAGATGGACAACGCTTTCGGGGGCTGAAGGGTGATTTGGTATGAAGCCTTGCTCTTGGGATGAACCCATGATTTCCATTCCTCGCTGTAACAGAATTAGATTCAGATTCAGCCCTATTTCGCGAAAAGAAGTTTGATATTCCTTCCAATGGATCCATGGTGGAAAGATGAAGTGGCAGGGAGATGAGATGAAAAATGAAGACGTTTGCACTCACCTCGCGGGAAGGTACTCCTTCACAAACTCATCCAGAGATTTTGCGTTTGCAGCATCAATCGGATCCATTTTTTGTGATTTTGTATAGTTATTTCGTGGTGTTGTGCATAGAAGAGTGCCTAGCACGTGCCTAGCTAGTACTCGCGTAGAGAGGTAGGCAGGCGTGGCAGGCCAATACGAGTACTGAGTACCTGTACCAAGCTGGGTCTATTACAGTAACCTAACGAGCCGAGAATTACCCGACGCGAACTACACTTGCACCACTTCCTTCTCTTTCTTCATGCAATCCCTTCAAGAAGAGGACTGCTTTTCCTCGATAGCAGATCATGCTATCTATCTACAACTCACATGCTACCGCATAGGATTGTTCCATCATGCTCACCTTGGAAGGGTTCGATTTTTAGAGGGCTTTCACTCCAGCTTATTCCGGCGCGACCCTACGTTTCCAAACCAGGGGCACCGAAAAGACCGAGTCGTTTTGGTGACAAACACATCAGTCTCGACCACGTAAGAGGCAGCATTGTTCCATCTGCCCCACTAGTCAATTGCTAATCTATGCCAATAGTTCCTGCTCCGCGGTCGCGTTGTCTCTCTCTACCGCGATATAATCCGAGGATGTCGTAGAATCACCAATCCCAGCTCCAAGAAGGAGATGATAGATATGGCTCGGTATGAGTTCAAGAGGAATAAGGATGTGCAGGATCTTGTGTGTTGTTGGTTCCTATCTAGCTCGGTTGATGGCCGAGGTGGAATACCATCATACACAACAGCAGCTAATCATTCGGGCAGACGCAGATACGTTATCTACTTTCTACCGGAAGAACACAATGGGAGGGAATGGAACGGTATATTGACGGATTATGATCACGGGGACTGTATGCTTTCGGAAATCTAAAGCTGCATCACTCTAGAAATGTCACGAAGAAGATTACGATCCAAGCCTCTTGAACCAAAGGCCGCAAGTATGACACATGAATCTACTTGCATTTCACTGCTCAGGCTCACTGGAATCAGAAGTCTCAACTCTCAAACGGGATTCACGAAGCCACCATTCGCCAGCTTGACCCAAAGCACACGAGCATTGATTGAAGAAAGAGAGACAGAGAGAACCCTCCATGCCCTTTACAAGCGAACATACGGATTTATGAGAAAGTAATTAAATATTTAGATATCGAAAGCCAAACCAGTTCCCTAGCTCACCCAGACAACAAAAGGCCAAGAAAACTTCATTTGGAAGCAAGAAATAACACCACTCGAAGACGAATTAATCAATACGCATGTGTCCTACATGTAGCTCTCATTGCCGCCCTAGGAAAACCACTACTCGCTATCATCCTCCGGAAAAGCCCCCGGGCTCGGTGACATCATGGGTGACTCGCTAGGTGCTCGCTTAGTCTTCTGACTGCTAGGTTCTCCGGAAGGTTGATTAGCTGCTGGTCTTTTCCTATTGCTCCTCCTCACGCCCCCCTTTGGTGGCGGCTTTGGATCGCTAGGATCAATGCCCAATTGCTTGCACACATCCAAAATTTCCTCTCTCGACAATTCATCCCATTTCTTATCAGCTTCCTTCTCTATAGCGGCTCGAACTTCTTCCTGGTTTTTTCTTTTCTGCTCGTATACTTGCCGCGCCTCCATTGCCTTGATCTCCCATTGTTTGTAATAATTTTCAAGGATTTTTGGGTCTGGAGCACCCGGCTGTTTTTGACGCTCTTCAATATCTCTAAGTCTCTTTTCAGCTGGTGTTATAGATATGGGGTTGAAATCTGGTGGCAGTTCAGGAAGAGCTGGGCGAAAGATTGCCGCAACTGGTTTCGTTGGCTTCTGCGTTTTTTCGGACTCTGTTGCTGGTTTTGTTTTGAATTCTGGCACTGCGGTTTGATTAGTTTTAAATCAATAGTGATATATGGGGCATGGACAACTCACCATCCGCCAAGTCTTGTTCCATCCTGAAAGATTGATAGGCTTCTTGATACGGCGTCTCGCCAAATGGAAAGTATGGTGGGCCGTCAGCGCCTCGATAAATCTCTCCTGGGAGTTGATCTGGTTCTTGCTCCTCTGGTGGTTTCACGTCGGCCTTTGTTCGCACAACGGGGCCAGACGATCTGATTGCAAGTTGAGTTACTTCGGTTTGGCATCCCACGGGGAATCGGCGCATATTGAAATATTTCCTTGGACCTTGGGTAACTTTCAATTTCTCGCCGGCTATCTCCAATTCCCTTTCTATGGGAACAAGCCGTGGTGCAGCAAAATCCCAAACATGTTCGTTTTCAGGGAAACGAGATTCCCAACTGTTGTTGTTTTCTTCCAGAACTTGAATCTGGAGCAAGGTGGCTGCTTGTTTTGCTGTCATGTTTCTTGGGTCATTACCTTGGAACTCCATTGCGCTTCGTTGGGCGATGTCTGGCGCAATCTCATGGAGTTCCAATGCAAGGTCTTGCAGGCTTTCCGGTGGGTCCTCAGGCTTCACGCCCTTGAAGACGGTGCTGCGAAGGTATGAAACCTCGGCTTCATTAAGATTTTGCATGAAATCGCGATAGGTGATCTCATATCCCGATTTTTGCTCAGCCAGTTCTGCTTCAAAGCTCCCACGGTAGTCTGCGAGAGTTGACAACCCGCGAGTAATAAGACGTCCAAGTTGCCAAGACAATCTTTGAAGGTACTCGTATTTGTTGGGCTGCACAATGCATGGCCCAATCGTTCCTTCAGCATCGTATCGTACCTCGTAGTGGCCCAACTGATTCTGCTTCACACCAGGAGCGCCTGGGATTGCACTTAGGGATGTAACATATTTATTTTCGGGGTGGCCATCAAATGGGATCTGAGATACCATTTCCATACCCTCCTGGTCATCATTGTAACTAGAAGTTGTAAGCACAATCTGCCTTGTTGAGAAAAGAGGTGTCTCATGACTAACCGAATCACCTGTGCAAGTCTCATGCCATCCAAGTTATGCTTCGCCTCATCCTCCGTCCACAGATGAATATTTTTGCCGCCAGCTTCCACACGTTTGCTGTTCATGAGTTGCAGAAGGGACTTCAAAGAAATACCTGTCTTGCCCTTGACATATGGATCGTGTGGTTGCTGTACCAATCTAATAGTATCCTCTCTCGATTGCTTCGGCGGTTTATAAGCTTCCCAGAGGGGAATGTATTCTCGAACGTCTTCAATATCATTACAGAACTCCGTCAACTTTGCCATGTCCCAATCAGGCACTCGCACATCAACCTCTTCAAAAGGACGTTGTGACTCATCCCAAGAAGGTCCAGCAATCTCGTTGAGAAGGTCGATTCCGGGGTTTGTCAGCTCAATACTCTGCTCGACTCGTTGGCCGTTCGGAGTCACGATTTCTTTGTAGAAGATAGACGGCTCTCCCGCTCTCCACCGCAAGCCTTCATCTACACGATCTATCAAGGCAGCCATCAACGGCCGGGGGGAGATTTTGTTCGCGCGAGCCATACTGCTGTAAACACTGGTTAAGATATTCTTTGCCCTCGCGGTCACTTCCTGGTACTGCTCAAGCGAGGCTACTGAGAAGGGACCGCTCAGATTCGCAGGAGGATCGAGCAGACCACGTCGTTGTTCTATGGCCTTGGTTCGACCCAGATGATACTTCATCTCCATCTCCCAGCGGTAGGCCGCGACCTTCTTGGTAAAGTAGAAGGGCTCCAGCTCGACTGGGCGTTTGGTGGGATCCAACGGCAACGTCAAGGGCACTTCGGGACGGTCACTCCAGTCGACGTGTGGAGGGGGCAGCTGGACAATACGGAACTTGTCATCGGGTCGATGCTGTTCCTCGTTGGTACACAGAAGGTTCAGGCCCAACTCGATGGCGGCTCGCTGGATGCCGCGTCGTTCGGCTTGGGGGGTGTAGTCGATGGTCGTCCTGGCGGCTGCTTCTGTTGTTTGCTTCGCCTTTCGCATCAACTCCAGCTTGGCATTTTCCCTTCTGGCCTGCCGCTTCCTCTCGCGGGCCTGGATGGACGAGGGATTCTCGCTGAAGGCAACATAAAAGGTCTTGAATTCGCCAGGCGTCGCGGCCGCCGGGTCGACCCTGGTGTCGGCACCTGGGGGAAGCACCTGTACATCGTCGTAGCCTTTCCACGCGTTGATGCAGGACTCGCGCAAGGCGTTGATTTCGTCTCGCGTGGCCTGGGGCAGCGTGTCGAAGCGATCCAGCATGGCCAGCCGGAAATCTTCACCGAAAATGCGCTCGACGTTGTCGACCCATCCCGCCAGCTCTGGGCGGTGCACGCCTGATGCGTACATGACCCTCATCAAGAGGTTCTTGTCCTCTCGACTCAACGTGGTGTTCCAAAGGCCACGCGCCTCTCGTGCGGTCGACACGATGGCCCTCGCTCGCGCAACTCTGCTGAGTTGCGATGGGTTGGCCTCCTGCTCGGCTGGAAAGATGAGGACCCCCAGCGCCTCGGTGGCCTCTTGAACCGCCTCATCGCTGCTTTCGACGACGCATTGCACCCCACCGGCTTTCTCAATCCAGCGATACCACGTGTCGGAGATGGCCTTGAAGTAGAGCAACTTCTCTCGGATGTTGCCGAGCACGCTGCTGATGCGGTTTTCATACCACCACACTACTGGCGGCTTCGGCGCGGCAGGAATCTTCTGCCGCAAGGCACTGAGCTTTCGTAGCTCACTATCGAGCTCGACCTGTGCGAGCTCCAGCTGGGTCCGCTCCACCTGAATCTGCACCCACCCACGTATGAGCTCGGGGGGAAAGTGATTGGACAGCAGATAGTGTAGGTCATCGTCTTCCTCGAGCGTCCGGTCTTTTCCCTTGGCTAGCAGCAGGTTGATTCGATATTCGCGGCTCTGGATCGCCTCCGGAAGCTCTTGTCGCGGTGGTCGGTCGAGAGTACGACCCTTCCTCCTTCGCTTCTCCGCAAGTTCTTGTCGATACCACGGCTCGTCGTCATCGGCCTTGATGGGAGTCTTGGAGAGCCCTTCGGTCGGATGCATCCAATATGGGATCCACGCAGGCTCTCTCATCGCCCACTCGTACGCACGTCCTTCCACGAACATCAGATTTGTACCCTCATCAACCGTATCCGGATCCTGCGTGCTGTCGACGGCCAAGGCCTTGATGAAGCCCGCGTGCTCGGCGTTCCGATCAACGGAAAAGGGCGGGTCCTCCCCTCTCATCTGGGCCTCAACCCCCATCGCCTCTCTCTCGCTCTGCCATTGCTGTGTCTGACTCCCTGTAAGCAACCGATTGGATCGAGGTTGTATCAAGGGCTTAGTGCCACAGTCGGTGTCTATCCATCCTTGTTGCACACGCTTGTCCCACTCATGATGAGTCTCGGACATAATCCTGACATCTCGGAAAAGTTTCTCGTCAAACTGGAGCTTTTCTCCCTTTATGTACTTGAGATATTCATCAATCTCTGCATGCTTTTCGCGAAAACCAATACATCTGTTAGGATCTTCGTCTGCGAGGAAGTTTTTGGCGGCCTCGAGGCGCTCATTGATTGGAAGCTGTGGATGACCTTTGAATTGACGGTCTGGGGGGACAGGCTCAGGTATCCCTGTGGGTCCTTTGGGAATCCCAGGAAAACTTTCGGATATGGTCAGTTCTTGTTCATAATCTGAGAAGCCATTTGAGAGAGTAGAGAAGCCTACAGTTTACCCATATCTGTCATTTTAAGAGTGCTTTACTGAAAAAGTTCTACTTTGGTTCCGGCCTGTTCTCTCTTGAGCATGCAATCTTCACCAAAACTCGTGGAAGCTTGTGGCCATCTCCTCAAATCGTCGTATGTTCGGGATGAATTCGTAAGCAGAGATTCCGCGCTTTTCGTACCTCCAACGGAGAACGTTGCAGCTCGTTCTCGTGCTTTCGATTACAATGTAAATCTATTTTGCAGAGAATTGAAGTTTTCGCAAAAGTTGGAATGCGACCTTGACCTCGCGCGACACGGTCGTTGTGCTGAATGTAAGGAGAAAAGGGGGTTGGGACGGCTGATAAACAATATACATTCCACAACACACAAGCGGACAATGAATCAACAATGACTGGAATGTTGCATTATCAAATCAAATTACAGAATTCCACCGAACTCCGTTCCATTGGCAAATAACTCTATATTGAATTTCCACGTTGCTGCATGATTTTCACGTTGTGTCTAGAATTTTCTACCTGTTAATTTAAGAAAATAACAAGTTCTCCGTTGTTAGATATACAGGTACGATGTCATCTTGGAGGAGACTAAGAAAAAAGCAACGGTTGGCTGAAAGCAGCTTTCATGAAATTTTAGTGGCACAGATCAAACAAAGAAACACGGTTGGTGAATCTCGCTTAACCAGCACCCGGACTCGCATCCTCTTCTAGAAATAATCTTCTTGAAAGGAAGTGCACAAGTGTCTGTTATATCATTTTTCATGCTTGATGGAAGTAGCCCGAGTATTTTTGGCTTACTTCGCAGCCAATCACAGCTAGGAACCAAACCCCCAAGCTACTTAATCGGATTTCATAGACGTCGGAAGACCTACCCAAAGCAATCCAACACAATCAACGAGTCCTAAGCAGGAACTCTTCATTTCTCCGACCGAAGATGCCCATAGTAACACGCGAGCATCGAGCTCTCAATTACTCCGAAACAGCGCAAGCGCAAAACCTCACCAGCATCACCTCCCCAACCGGCATCACCACACCCTCCTCCCCCCCTTCTCCATCCAAACACGCAAAGTGCTCGCCCAAATCACCAAAAGACTTCCGATTCCACATCCCTGCACGAGCTGCACCACCACCACCACCTCGCCCAAAGCGCAGACCAAAAAACTTGAAAGACACGTCCCACGCGCGAGACGCCAGGTCTTCTGCGCCTTCCCCACGAACACCGTCGACGCCGAAGAAGAGTCCTAAATCCCCGCGGGCTTTGAAGAGTCCGCGGACCCCTAGGACGCCGAAGAGGTGGGTGGGGAATCTGGTTCCGATTCTGAGGAATCCGAGGGAGGTGAGGGGGAGTGGGAAGAGGGTTGAGTTTGTGATACCGGATGCTGGGAGGAGGGGGAGTGGTGGTGGTGGTGAGGAAGTGCCCCAAGAGTCCTTATCCGCTTCCTCGTACGCAGGCGTGGGATGGTGGTAAGGAGGAGGACGAGGCTGATGTGGAAATGAGTGGAATTTGAGATTGAGGAATGTAACTATTATTGTGTCAATTTACGTAGCATTTTGCGGAGATTTCTCCCGTGATTGAGGACTATTTATGACAGATCTTGTTTGTTTATTAAATATCGCAATCGCATCACCATACCAAACAACCTTTTTTCGAGATCAAATTTTTTGTTCTAAATCACTTGCTCTCACTTGCTTGT